GACACTTCTTGTGAGGAAAGGAAGCTACATTGGTGCAAGGAACTTCCATTCTTTCTGCATTTGGTTTTCCGATCAGCCTCTCGAGAATGAAAATTTTGAACCCTTGGAGAAGCAAGTGCTGCTGGGATACACCGAGGGCAGAACAATGGAGAATGTATCCTTCTTTCTGTAAACTAGGGGACATTACAGGGACCTCTGTACTCCAGAATTTTGTACCAAATGATGAGCTCACTGCCTCCTTTTTCTGCAGAATTTTGTGAAGGTTTCTTGTTCCCATATGATTCATGGGATAAAATGGGTTTTACTAAGATATAGAATTAGGTGTCCTCACTGTACTTTTGTCCCCTTTTTGATGGGGGCTACAACTGTCTTTTTTCTGATCTAGGTTTCAAATTGCTGTCTGATGAATAAAGTAGCGGCTGAGAATTGGTTTTACAATCGCATATTTTACGACTTCTAATTATAGTATGGAAAAGTCATACAAGACAACAATGCCGGGGCTGGTCAATGAGTTACAAGCGGCTTTCACAGGGGGGCGTCAAATCCAGGACAATATCATTATCGTCCATGAAGTACTTAACCATTTCAAAAAGAACAAATCCGGAAGCCATAAGAAGATGATGATGAAGCTGGACATGCGTAAGGCCTACGACCTGGTGGAATGGGACTTCCTCTTGGAACTGCTGAAGGCCTATGGCTTCAATGATACACAGTGCCAGTGGATTAAAGTGTGCATTTCGACGGTTAAGTTCAGCACTCTGTTCAACGGAGAACCCTCAACGGCGTTTACCCCATCCAGAGGAATCCGACAAGGGGACCCCCTTTCCTCACTTCTATTCATCCTTATGTCCAATGGCCTGTCCTTCCTCATCGACAGAGCTGTTCAACAGCATCACATCAGAGGACTCAAACTCACCAGACACTGCCCCACTCTCACCCATTGCCTTTTTGCGGATGACACGATCATCTTCGGTGAGGCATCGATTGCTGAGGCTCAGAACATCCTTCAGATTCTGAATGACTATGGAGCCATCACCGGCCAGGAAGTCACAGGGAGAAGTCGTCAGCTTTCTTCAGCAAAAATGTCCCAGCAGACGAAAAGGAGACCCTTCTTCAGACTATTGGTTTTGATGGTTCAAACACACACTCTAAGTACCTTGGGGTCCCTACTGAATGGGGAAGATCAAAGAAGGAAACTTTTCATTTCCTCATTCAACGACTGGAGAAACAAGGGGAGGCGTGGAAAAGCCTTTTACTTTCACCAGGAGGAAAGGAAACACTCCTCAAAGCAGTGTTTCAAGCCATTCCCTCTTTCCTAATGTGCCTCTTCCTCCTTCCACGTTCAATCACTTCAAGAATGGATACCTTGCTGAAGCGGTTCTTCTGGAGCGGTTCCATCTCAAAGAAATCCATCCACTGGAGGGCAGGGAGGGTACTGTACGCAAAGAAATCAGAAGGGGGCCTTGGTTTTAGATCGTTCCACATCTTTAACCTGGCCTTACTTGCGAAGCAAGCCTGGCGTATTCTCACAAATCCGGATGCTCTCTGGGTCAGGGTTCTGAAAGCCCTCTACTTCCCTCGGGCGGAATTCACTAAAGCTAGAAAAGGAAGCAAGGCGTCTTGGATTTGGTCTAGTATTTGGGAGGCAAGGAAATGGATGGAAAAAGGAATTATTAAAGTAATTGGTAACGGAAAGGATACCAGCATGTTTCAGGATCCTTGGCTTTTTGTCTGAGCAGGGCCCCTATGTGAGCAGGCGACGGCGGACAATTCAAAAGTTGCTGATTGGATCGATTCTTTGTCTCGCGAGTGGAGATTTGACATCCTTAATGAGTTTCTGAGCCCTGAAGATCTGAACTCTGTGTCCGGGTCTCCGATCGGACCGAGCACCATGAATGATTTCTGGGCATGGAGATTTACCGACCAAGGAAACTTCACTGTCAGGTCGGCTTTCAACCACTTTCATCTGATTGATCGGAGAGCACGGGGGGAAGATTGCGAGGTCCTAGAGTCAAACAGGGATAAGTGGAAATGGCTTTGGAGCCTCTCCCTGCCCTCGAAACTGAAAATTTTCATCTGGCGAGTGTCCAGAGGGGCGCTGGCCACCAGACACAATCTCCATTCTCGCCGCTACTCCCCTTCCTCCTCTTGCCCGATCTGTGAAGATCCGGCAGAGACCTCTCACCATTGCCTCTTCTCTTGCCCTCATGCTGCTTTCGGATGGCTTTCTCTTTGGCCAGACCTGCCTTTGCCGCCTCCCCTTTCGAATGTTCTGGATTGGCTGTATGCTCTGTCCGAAAGCTGGCCGCCGGACCTGATTCATAATCTCAATTTTCTTCTGTGGCAGACTTGGAAAACGAGGAATGATAAGATTTTTAAAGGTAAGACACCGTGGGCAAATGCAACCATGGCACGAGCAATGGAGGAGGCGCATCAATGGCGAACCTGCCCAAAGCGGAGACAGGAGCCCTCTCACCCTCACCCTATTCCACCCCCGGATGCTGTTTTGCCACCGCCAAGTACTCAAGCTTTTGAAGTACACTGTGATGGATCGTTTTTTCACGATTCCCAGGAGGCGGCATATGGAGTCGTTGTTACGAACGTTCATGGCCAAGTTGTTGACGGGAAGGCTGAGACCTTGCAATGCCTTTCATCAATCGAAGCGGAAGCCAAAGCGTTACTTGAAGGTGCTCTGGTCGCAGTGGACCTTAGAGCTTCATGTCTTGTCAAGTCGGATTGCAGTACCTTAATCAAGGCTCTCCAGGGTCATTCTTGTTTCTGGCCGTGGAGAGCAGCTTCCTGGCTTGGACGAATCAAGAAGATCGCTGCCGATCATCCTAACATCAGATTTGAATGGTTCAATCGAAAATGTAATTCCAAAGCGAATTGGGTAGCTCGATCACAGGCTAAAAATCAGCTACCCAATGAGTGGATTCATATTCTGGATGTTATTTCCCCACTCTTGTAACCTTCGGCTTTCGCCTCTTTTAATGAATGGTAGGTGCCCTTTGTCAAAAAAAAAAGTAGATAAAAATTAGTTATGATAACTACCAAAATCGAAGTAGTTTGTCGGTTTGTAATCACTAGGAGAAACTTACACTATGTTTCCGAAGGAAGGGAGGAAAAGGAGGGGAGGTGAAGGAAAATTAGGAGGGGAGGGGAGATTTGGAGGTGAAGGAAATTGAGAGGAAAGCGAGAAGGAAAGTGTATATTGAGAATTGTGATAAATATGTTATTTTATTGGTTATGTAATAGTAAAATAATTTGATTGTATGTTAATATTCTATTAACTTATGAATTGTGAATTAAATTTGTACTTTCTTTCTAAATGGCACCAGAGATTGTACTGGAAAAAAATAAGTGGTTGGGTATTTTATTCTAAAATCGTGATTTAACCACATCAATTATTTAAAAATAGAGACTTTATAATAATTGAACAAGCATTCTAAATTGATTAAATTTATTCAACTATTCTAATACGACTTTCACTAATGGTCCACTATTCTCATGAGTTTGGTGTAGTCCATACCGAACCGTTGCACGGTTTCCCTAATTAAAGAAAGAAAAAGTAGCTAGAAAAAAACATTGGAAACCCCATAAATGGGACGCATATAATGGATTGAAGAGCCTTTCCCTCCCTTTTCTCTCCGAAAATTGGAGGGTGGGATTGAATAGTAATTCTTCTTTCCACAATTTCTCTCCCGACAACTTTCTTTCCTTTCCAAACGGAGGAAAGTTTCTTGCAGGGGCGGAGGGAGAGGGTAATAGGGTGGGTCCTAGCCCGAGAGGAAAATAGTTAAATTAGGTATAATAGTTAATCGATACTGAAAATTAAGACCCGTATAGTTGATAATAGTTGATCAAAAGGTCTTGTGTTCGAATCTTGACGATCTCATTTATTAAACACATGGTATTCAGATTTGTGCAAACTTCAATTCCGTATAATTAAGACGATTGAACATCACCCAACATCTCAAGTTATTGATACTATGGTTCTTGACAAATAACACAATTCAAAGTGAATGAATAACTAAGTGAAGTATAAATTGTTTGTATAAGATTCATTATTAAATTTCTATCAACAACTCACGTTATTGGTACTAATCGGTTCTTGAAAATAACACTATTAAAAGATGAACAACTATCTAAATTATGAATAATTGTTTGATAAACTTAGAGTGATATTATTAATAGTTTCGATTACTAATGTATTTAAATTTATCAAAAAATCAAAATGTAATATTATGTCAGGAATAATTAAAAAAAAAATTAAATTTTTTTTTATCATGTTTATTTTTTTTATGTGGACCCACCCTAGATGAATTTCTGGCTACGCCCCTGATTTCTTGGTTCTCTCATTTTCCACCCAAACTTTTTCTTTCCTCCCTTTTCTCTCCTTCTAGAACAGAGGGTAAGGCTTCTTAACAGTTAGCTGAATAATCGAATCCATTTTAACAATCTTATATTTGCAATGAAGCATGACATTTTATGGTCATGATTGATTGAGATAATCAAGAAATACATATATATTAATCGTTCATCTATATTTCTCATATTACAATTGTGGATTGATTGTAATATTTCAATGAGTGATTAATGAACAATTGAAAATACAAAAAAAAAAAAAAATCATGAAGCTTGTGTTAGGTAACAACCAATTATCCTATTTGTGATACACTAAGCCTTGTTCACTTTTATTTTCGTTTCTAGTTTTCTGTTTTCATGTGATAAATTTGGCAACCGAAATGAGAAAACTTGTTTACTTTTCATTCTGTTTTCTATTCGTTTCCAACTATGAAAACAGAAAGTGGCAACTTCCTGCTGTTTTCGGAAACGACAAAATGTTGTTTTCACCTGTTTTCAACATCTGTTTTCTCAAAAACAGGAAACAGAAATGAAAGTAAACAGGTCAAACTGGCAATTCAGATTAAGCATTTTGACAAACAACACAATGAAAAAACTGAATAAAATTTTATAAATAAATATATTTTTCATGTTAACTGGATGAGGTTCAGATGTAAAATGACATTTTTTTATCCCTACATTAATTCTTACTGAACCCACGCAAAATTAGGGCGACAACACGAAATCCTCTTCTCAAATCGAAGAAGTAGAAGAAGAAAACTCTCTCTCTTCTCTCGTTTCGTTTCAATCCTTACACTCCAATTTCGCTTCCATTCCCTTCCCTTCCCTTTCGCTGTCCTGCAAAGCTCCGGGCTTTACCATCTTCTTCTCTTCATCTTCGGGTACTCTCTCTTTTCTCTCTTCCGCTCTCTGATTTCTCTCCTTTATCATTTCCCCAATTTGATATTTTTGCCGGCCACTCCGTTCTGTGGTTACTCTATCGCGATTTTGTTCCCTTGTTCAAATGGGTGATTCGAGAATCGAATTCATAGCCCGAAAACTTGGGTCGAATGCTTGCATGAAATCGTTCCCGCTCGCGGGCAATTCGTCAATAAAATCTGGAAGATTTCAAAGGACTTAGGCGCTAGTTTTGGCCTCCCTCCCTCCGCCATAACTGTAACTTGTAAATTTGTTAATGATATCTGGCCAAGAAATCGCTATGCCGCTAATGAATGGAGTAGAGTTAACTGGACCTTAAAAATGAAAACTTTGCTCTTTGTTCCTTCCGGGTTTTTCTTTTTGTGGGAGTATGCAGAGTATGATGGTAGCACTACGTTGTCTTCACTGGTTTTATACTTGTTGATTGAGTAAACCCTGTTAGGATGGTGTGTTGGAGGGTAATACTAGGATAGTAGAAAAGTAAAGTGAAGTCTCTAAGCTGAATCTTAAGAGGCAGAACTACTTGATGAAGCTAGAATATTTATATAAACAGGTTCGGAAAAAAATGAGCTTCGTATAGAATGTATTGTCATTCACCAATACTCTTGACTCCGAATAATCATTCTTTGCTTAGAGGCTGGCGTAACTTGTATGTTTTAACTTGGTTATCTTTGGATGACAATTGGAACGGTTCACTTTCCTATCAGTTAGATTGTAATTGAACAATGCTAATATTTATACCTCTCTCCTTAATCCTATTGAATGATTAGTTAATTTTCTCCATGGTGGAAGCAGTATGAATGTTATGTTAGTTCACACGGTTCATGACTTGAAAAGAATCTTTGAGTTACATGTATCCAATCTTTGCTTTATGGTTTCATCTTGTGACGGTGCTAGAAATTATTGTGCTGTGATTGAACGACATAGATATCGGTTAAGTCGGACCGTTTTGTGGACCTGTGGTTTGACTCTCCTTTTGCATCTGTCCTACTCCTTTCTAGTTCAGCAATTGACTAGTAAAATGGTCAGACACCAAAATTTTGTTATGCCACTGTACGCTTTATTATTATGCCTGAAATAATATTTTTTGTTGTTGTTAAGTGTAATTCAAGTGTTGCTATATCTTTTGTTATTCTGTCTTATAGACCTGTTTAATGATTAAACTTGTTCCCTTTTTGGGCAGTGTTCATGTTCGGATTTCGAGAAATACATTTTCTTGATGTCTTTCCCCTCCTTCATAACCCTTATAATCATTATTCTGAAATCTCTTTGCCTATCTCTATAAGTACCATGAGTAATGTTATCATGATTCCTTCTGTAGACTTGATTTACATTGCAACCAACCCAAGTCTTTTCTCTCATGCTCAATTGAAAATCATACACTCTGAAAACCTTTTTCCCTTTCATTTCCTTTCCTCCTATCAATATGTGTATGAAGTCCCATGAACTCTTCTCGCCTATGTACCTTCTTCACAGTTCCCTTCCAAGCTTGCCTATTTTAAAAATATAAGATGCCAACTGAAGGGGGCAATGCATCAGCAGTTCCGAACCTAGGAGAACCCATCGACTCTGATGAGAGAATTGATCTAAATGAAGACAATGATCCTGAGGAGGCTATGGATGAAGAGGTTGAATATGAGGAAGTTGAGGAAGAAGAAGAAGTGGAAGAATATGTAGAGGAGGAAATAGAGGTGGAAGAGGAAGGAGAAGAATCAGACAATGATAACAATGATATTGCTAATCATGGTGGTGGGACAAGAAGTGAATATGATGATGAAAAGAAAAAGCATGCTGAACTTCTTGCCCTCCCTCCTCATGGTTCTGAAGTATACATTGGAGGCATTCCTCATGATACCACACAGGAGGAATTGAGAGGTTTTTGTGAATCTGTAGGAGATGTTCACGAGGTGAGCCTGAAGATTTCTGATTCACTTCATATTGTGAGGATAAAAAGACTTTTGACCATCTCCTTTTTGTGACTATACAGGTACGCATGATGAAGGGAAAGAATTTAACTGACAGTAAGATTTTTGCCTTTGTGACCTTTACAAGTGTGGACTTGGCATCAAAAGCCATCAAGGAGCTGAATAATTCTGAATTCAAGGTGCAGGTCCTTAATATTTATGATCCTAACTAACGTTGGCATCTGAATATTTGTGAATGATGCTACTTTTATCTGAAGGAAGCATTTATAACCAAAGTAACTTAGACCCCACGTGTTGTGCGTCGTATACAGCTAGCTGGATTGTTTTCTAAATATTAGATTTTGGCATTTAACATTTGAGCCATTCATTCTTTATTTTTCACTTCTAGGGTTCAAAACTCAAGTGTTCCACATCTCAAGCTAAGCACCGATTGTTCCTTGGAAACATTCCTAGGAGTTGGGGAGAAGAAGAGTTGAGGAAGGCTGTGACAGAGGTTGGGCCTGGAGTTAATGCCATTCAACTGGTGAAGGTTAGTGTCATTCAGGATTTCAGTTGGAGTAGCTAGCTGTTTGGCTCTACTATTAGGTTAACTTTTGTGTAATATTGGGTTACAGGATCCAAGGAACATCAGCAACAACAGAGGTTTTGGTTTCCTAGAGTACCATAACAATGCATGTGCTGAATATTCAAGGCAAAAGATGTCAGATCCAAAGTTTAAGCTAGGAGATAATACACCAACTGTGAGCTGGGCTGATTCTAGGAGCACTAATTCTGCAGCTGCAACTCAGGTTATGAAGGAACATTTTTATACCATTGTACTATGAATGTCATGGCTCATCCTTTTTCGTTGCAACTTTACTAGGACACCAGTATCATTGGCTGAATCAATGCTCTCGACTGTCAAGTTTTTCTGTTTCCAAGAACTACTTCCATGTTTTGTGAGACTTGTTGCCTGAGCTAAGTATTGGTCTAACATCAGGTTCTCTTCTCCAGGTTAAGGCATTGTATGTGAAGAATTTACCAAAAGATGTAACACAAGATAAGCTGAAGAACCTTTTTGACTGTCACGGACAAATCACAAAGGTGGTTTTGCCACCAGCCAAACTGGGACAGGAGAACAATAGAATTGGTTTTGTTCATTTTGCCGACAGGTCCAGTGCTATGAAAGCGCTGAACAGCACTGAAAAATATGAATTAAATGGTAATCATCTCTACTTAGATATGTTATCTAGAAGCAATTGAAGGTGGTAAAAGTAATCTCCTGTTAATTTTGATTATCAGGCCAAACTTTGGAGTGCTCTCTTGCAAAACCTCAGGCGGATCAGAAAGCTGTTGGTCTTTCAAACATTCAGAACCCTGGTATTCTTCCAAGTTTCCCACCCTATGCTGGTTATGGTTTGGGTGGGGCTGCCGCATATAGCCCTCTTGCCACAGGATATGGTGCTTCCCCCTTTGCGCAGGTCTGAATTTCTGCAATCTCATTGATTATGTTTTCTTTCTATAATTTTTCATGTAATAGTTGGTTAAGCTGTCACTATGGTTACAAACTGTTTTACTGGATCTTGAGCATTATAATTAATTATCTATTTGGCAAACCATTCCTGTTTTTCATTGACATGATGATGGTTTGTACTTTATGCAGCCGTTGTATTATGGCGGTGCACCATCTCCTCCTGGCATGGCAATGATGCCAATGCTCCTACCTGATGGCCAAATTGGATATATTCTGTAATCCTCATCTACTCTGTCCACTTCCCACCTGAACAGTTTTCTTCTAGATACCCTGAAATTCAACTTTGTCTGAATTGAGATTTCTTCTTTGCATAGGCAACAGCCGGGCTTACAGCATCATCATATGACGCCTTCACATCTGGCGATGAATAGTAGAAGTAGCAGCAGCAGTGGCGGCAGGGGGAATAGAAGTGGTAGTGGTGGTAATCCCAGTCGGGATAAGCACAGCAACGATGGCAGCAGCTACAGTCGCAGATTTCGACCTTACTGACTTCTAGTGTTGTTTTTCCTTTGCATCACATTCTCCTCTTGTGCCGTTTTACAGTTTTCAACAAATTAGAGTTAGAGCCCTAGCCTTTCTGTTTTTTTTTTTTTTTTGGCTAGCACAATCAAAGCTCAGATTTTATCTATGTTGCTGAGTTGTTTGTACGTGCTTGATAACTTATATGCCCCATTTCTTGGTTCATTCAATACTTCCAGTTAACTTTTCTACTGCCCCAGAAGCTGTACCTAGTCTTTTGAAAATCGAATGTAATGCAATTTGGATTGTATCTATTCTACTGTACTTGTATTGGAATCAAAGAAAGGATTCCTTGATAGTTGATTCCTTCCTATCTCATTGACAGCAATAAGCAACAGCTAGAACTTTTAACATCTCAAGTACACTGATAGAAACCTGTAGTTGAGAAAAGAGAATTGGAAATTGAGAAGAAAGGGGATTAGGGATTTAGAAGAATTGGGGAAGAATTGAGAGAAGATGAGATTAGGGATTTGATTCTTTCTTATTGCTTAATCTGAAAATACTATTCTGAATCCTTATATATGGGTATCGAAATAAACAAACAACCCGGGCCAATAGGCCGGCCCTTCCTACACGCCTAACCCGCGGGGCGGGTTTCTATCATCCCCTCTCCGGCTGTCTCTTAAGAATCGACCTTGCCCTCAAGGTCGAAGGTGGGATAACGCTGCTTCAGCAGGGAGGTCTCTTCCCATGTCGCGTCCTCTGGCTCCACATGCTGCCACTCGACTAGGCTCTCCTCCACAATGCGACCCCCCTTTCTCGTCCACCTCGTCTCAAGCACCCTCAACGGCTTCAACTCCAGGTCTCCGTCTGCAGTGACAGGAGGGGCCGTAGTCTCTACCTGGTTCGCCGTTCCCCTGTACTTCTTCAGTACATGAAATGTCGGGTGAATGCGGGCACCTGCAGGAAGCTGCAACCTGTACGCCACCGGATTAACCTTCTCCAACACCTCATAGGGCACGAAGAACTTCGCAGCCAGCTTCTGATAGGCCCGTCGGAAGACTGAAGCCTGACGGTAAGGGTGTAAGCGAAGCAATACCCAATCTCCCATATGATTCATGGGATAAAATGGGTTTTACTAAGATATAGAATTAGGTGTCCTCACTGTACTTTTGTCCCCTTTTTGATGGGGGCTACAACTGTCTTTTTTCTGATCTAGGTTTCAAATTGCTGTCTGATGAATAAAGTAGCGGCTGAGAATTGGTTTTACAATCGCATATTTTACAAGACAACAATACCAATGAATGTTTTTTCTTGAACCAAGTAGATAGAAATTAGGTATGATAACTACCAAAATCGAAGAAGTTTGTCGGTTTGTAATCACTAGAAGAAACTATTAAGGCTTCTTAACGGTTAGCTGAATAATCGAATCCATTTTAACAATCTTATATTTGCAATGAAGCAGGACATTTTATGGTCATGATTGATTGAGATAATCAAGAAATATATATAGTGAAAGTGAAGTATTCGGTGCACTTACTATTTTAGGTGCGTTCAATGCACCCGCTTCATAATTATCATTCCGAGCATGCAATTCATGTCAAAACGGTATCAATTATCACTTATGATATTATGAACAAGAAACACATGAATTTGGGGGGAAAAATGGTCATTCAAGATTTACTTTATTTTGAAGGATTAAGGGTTTAGGGATTTAGGGTAGGGTTAGGGTTTATAATTTGGGGGTTTGGGTTTGTGTTCAAAATTGAAGGCTTAGGGTTAGGGTAATGGATTAATTAGTTGTGATCATATGTTCTATCATCATTTCATACTAATGTTACCAATTAAAATCCAAAATTTGTTGTCTTAAGGCTACTTTTAGACTTGAGTGCATTGAATGCACTCATTTTTTTGGGTGCATCGAAGTAGCCACCATATATATATATTAATCGTTCATCTATATTTCTTTTTTTTTTTTTATGGGAACCTGAATTTGTATTACTCAAACAAGAAAGTTACACTAGGCCCAAAGAGGAACGGCCCATATCCGCCTCAAGCAAAACAAGCAACGACAATGGTGGCTCATCCACCCAAACCACCTGGCTGTTCCACACACCAATGGAATGGGCGAGCCAGTGAGCAGCCCCATTGTATGTTCTTGACACAAAGCTCCAGATTACCTGTTCTCCAGACAGATTTTCATTTGTCTCAGCAAGCCTCAATATTTCCTCGCACCAGCTCCCCAATTCCGTCCGATCCATCTCCTTCCTCCTCAGCTTTCGAATCAACACCTCACAATCTGACTCTACAATGATCGGGCTCAATCCCCTTCTGTTCGCTTCCTTCAACCCCATCCAGATGGCCTTCGCTTCAGCTTCGATCGGTCTCCCAGCTCCCCTCTCCTTCAAAGCCGAGGCCCCTATGAATCTCCCCATCCAATCCCGAATAACGCAACCCATCCCCGTTCCCGTTCGATTAAGAATACCCGCATCAGTGTTAAGTTTGACCACCCCAATCGGCGGCGGCGACCATCTGCCAATCGGGTTTCCCCCACTTCCTGCATCACGATCGGGCCCCCCCAGATCCATGGGCTTCCAGGTAGGAATCAAGCCATGCCAGAGCCTTGGGGATAATCTCATCTTCCGCAAGTTTGTGGTTATTGTTCAGGTGGTTGCACCTCTCTTTCCAGAGGTACCACATCACTACTCCCCATTGTTGGACTCTTTCGGGTTCGCACTTCTTCCAGATTTCCTTCACACATTCAAAGCAATCTTTCCTTTCTCCTAGTTCATAAGTCTCTTTGCCTTCCCATGACATCCATCTACTTCTGATCCAGCTGCATTCCCTTAATGCGTGAGCTTGAGATTCAGGGAGACCACAAAACGGACAATCCGTGCAGGCGTTCTCGTTCCAATTGGCGATATTGCATCCTACAGGTAAAATATTTCTTCCCATCTTCCATAGGAAATTCCTCACTTTTGGTGGCACATTTAGTTTCCAGAGGTTTTTCCAGAACTCAATATCCTCTTCAGTCGCTACATAGGTGCGTTGAAATCTTCCCAGCTGTAGGTCGCGAATGCTTTTATATGCTGTTTTGACAGAATACTCTCCCTTCTCTGTGTCCTTCCATACCAACCTGTCATTTTTCAAAGGAGTCTGGATAGGGATTTTTTATATTAGGTTGCAATCACTCTCCGAGAACTGTTCTCGAAGCCTTTCCATATCCCATCCCCCACAATCCAAATTAATAAAGTCACTGACCAGGGCGTTGTAGTTCACCTCAAAGGGTTGCGGATCAGCGAAGAAGAAACTCTTCCCAGGAATCCATTCATCCTCCCATGCCCTAATAGATCTTCCATTACCCACTTTCCATCTAAAACCTTGCTCGATTTTCTCTTTAGCTGCTACCAGGCTTTTCCATATGTAACTGGGTCTAAATCCCTCCTTCGCCTTAAGGATGTCCGTTTTAGGGAAATATCTAGCCTTAAGAATCCTGGCCATTAGTGACTCAGGTTTCTCCAATATCCTCCAAACTTGCTTTCCGAGCATAGCCAGGTTGAAAGCTCGGAGATCTCTAAACCCCATTCCCCCCTCTTCCTTGTCAACACACAATTCTTCCCACTTAAGCCAATGAAATTTTGTTTCCTTGCCTTTCTGCCCCCACCAAAAGCTTGAAATCATGCTCTGGATTTCCTTGATAGTTCCTTCGGGTATCAAAAAAACATTCATGGGGTACATGAGTTGAGCCTGTGCCACTGCTTTGATGAGAACCTCCTTTCCTGCTTGTGAAAGCGTTCTTCCTTTCCAATCCTTCAGTTTTTTCCTCACTCTCTCCTTTATCTCTTCAAAGATAATTTTTTTGGACCTGCCAACAACAGTAGGAAGGCCTAGGTACTTGGGATGCTTGACTACCTCCTTAATACCCAGCGTACCACTTATTTCTAGTCTCCTGCTAAACCTGACATTCTTACTGAAAGAAATTTCAGACTTGTTGAAATTTATCATTTGCCCCGACTCCTTCTCATATATCTCTAGAAGCTCCTTAAGCTGATCACATTCTGCTGTGGTAGCTCTGCCAAACACCACACTATCGTCAGCGAAGAGGAGATGTGAGACTTTAGGTGCTGTTCTTCTGATTTGAATCCCCTTTATTTTACCCTCCTGCTCTACCTTTTTTATTAGCGCTGAAAATCCCTCAGAACATAGCAAGAATAAGTAGGGAGATAGGGGGTCACCCTGTCTCAACCCCCGAGAAGGGACAAAACTTTCAGTTTTATGCCCATTAACTAGTACCGAGTAAGAGACTGAAGTAATACACTTGAGGACCAGATCAATCCATCTTTCTTCAAATCCCATCTTCCTCATGACCTTCTCAAGAAAGAACCATTCAACGCGATCGTACGCCTTAGCCATGTCGAGCTTTGCTGCAAAATAACCTTCCTTACCTTTTTCCTTCTGCTTCATATACTGGAAACATTCAAAAGCAACAATGATATTGTCAGTAATACTCCTTCCTGGAACAAAAGCACTTTGTTCCTGGGCAATTATCTCATCAAGGATCAATTTTAATCTGTTGGCCAGAACCTTTGAAATCACTTTGTACAGGACTCGGCATAGGCTGATTGGTCTGAATTCTTTTGCGTTTGAGGGGTTCTTCACCTTAGGAATCAGCACAATAAGTGTATGGTTTAGGTCCTGTGGCATATCCCCACCATTCAAAAAGTTAAGAGCAGTTTCAATTACCTTAGTCCCAATAGAGCTCCAATTCTGTTGGAAGAAGCCAGCCGAGAAGCCGTCAGAACCCGGCGCTTTGTTAGGAGCCATTTGATCCAGAGCATCCTTTATTTCCCCACTTTGAAAAGGCTTCAACAGTTTTTCGTTCATTGCCGGACTGATTCTCTTTTCAATAGCTTGGATCACAAGGTCAGACATAGGGGTAGGACCCCTGGTGAAAAGCGATATGTAATAATCTCTTAGACAATCCGTGACCTCCTTCTGGCCCTTGAAAATTTTTCCTCTTTCATCCTGGAGCATTCTTATCGTGTTCCTTTTCCTTCTAGCTGTAGCTTTGTTGTGAAAAAAATTGGTGTTCTTGTCGCCCCCTTTCAACCAGTCCGCCCGCGATCTTTGTTTCCAAAACATTTCGTCCTGGATGATCAGTTCCGCTCGTTCCTTCTCCAGGTTCCTTCTCTGTTCAATAACAATATCTGTCTTTGGTTTATACTTGAAAGTCTTAAGCAGCGCATCTATCCGTTCTAATCTTCTCCTGATGTTTCCGAATTTATTCTTGCTCCAACTCGACAGTTCCCCTCTGCAGTCATTAAGAATTGAAGTGATGTTTTCCCCCCTGATTACCTTCACAGATTCTTTTAACTATTTCCCCACTCTCTGGATCTTTAAGCCAAAGGGGCTCGATTTTAAAGTACCAACCCCATCTTATTTCCTCCTCTTCTTTGCCCGCCGTGAATAGAGCAATAGGACAGTGATCAGAACCACATCGATCAAGATGGTAAACCTGATGATTAGGGTACATGAGTTTCCAATCCCAACTAGCCACGCATCTGTCCAGCCTTTCTTCTATATTTTTCTCGTTTGCTCGGTTATTCTCCCATGTAAAGGGGTAACCCTCAAAACCACAGTCCAGTAATCCACAATAGGCCAAGGCTTCCCTAAATTCCGCCGCCTGGGATTCATTAATGATTCTTCCTCCCTTCTTTTCTTCCCCTGATAAGATTTGGTTGAAGTCACCCATACAGAACCAGGGTAAGGAGCACCTGTCCTTCAATTCACACAAGAGCTCCCAAGACTGGAATCTCTCACCACGGTCAGCCCAACCATAGAAACCCGTGAATCTACATCTTTCACCCTCGTCACTTGGGGAAATCACCACGTCAATGTGGTGCAGAGAAGCTCCCAGTTTGTTTACTATCACATCCTCTGTCCAAAACAGACCAAGTCCCCCCGCTTTCCAACCATTAGTACAGCTCGCAGGGACCCCCAGCCCCCCACTAAAACCTAGTTCTTTCTGGACCTCCTGCCATCCCTTCTCATCCTTTTTAGTTTCCATAAGAAAGAGCATACAAGGATTTTGTTTACGGACCAGCTTCTTCAACTTTGCAACTGCCAAGGTGCTGCCCAAACCTCGGCAGTTGTAACTCAAGACTTTCATTGGGCTGGGCGGCCTTGCTCCTCGACAAGGACCGCCAATTCGCCATCCGTACTCAGATTTGCCAAAGCTCTCAGACGTTTTTCCACCGCCGGCACCAGGTCAACGTCCATCTCCTCTGGTGTCCCTCTTTTCCCCAAATCCATAACCTGTATCTGCTCGTTACCTTCTGCTGTATCCCTGTGGCCATTGATCCTCTTCCACTTCTTGGTGCTCTGTCCCTTTTTTCCTTTTCCTGGCTCTACCACTATATTGTAATCCGGCTCTTTTGCTTGTACTTCCTCCTGACGCTCCTTATTCTTTATTTCGTATCCAGTTTCAGTACCCCCTTCCCCAATAGTAACTCGGGGTCACCGGGGGATAATGCTTTAGTGCCTCTAAATGCTACTGAAACTCATCTATATTTCTCATATTACAATTGTGGATTGATTGCAATATTTCAATGAGTGATTAATGAACAATTGAAAATACAAAAAAAAATTCATGAGGCTTGTGTTAGGTAACAACCTATTATCCTATTTGTGATGTACTAAACTGGCAATTCAGATTAAGCATTTTGACAAACAACACAATAAAAAAACTGAAGAAAATTTTATAAATATATATATATATTTTTCATGTTAACTGGATGAGGTTCAGATGTAAAATGACATTTTTTTATCCCTCCATTCATTCTTACTGAACCCACGCAAAATTAGGGCGAACCCACGAAATCCTCTTCAAATCGAAGAAGAAGAAGAAGAAGAAGAAGTAGAAGAAGAAAACTCTCTCTCTTCTCTCGTTTCGTTTCAATCCTTACACTCCAATTTCGCTTCCATTCCCTTCCCTTTCGCTGTCCTGCAAAGCTCCGGGATTTACCATCTTCTTCTCTTCATCTTCGGGTACTCTCTCTTTCTCTCTTATCTCTCTTCCGCTCTCTGATTTCTCTCCTTTATCATTTCCCCAATTTGATATTTTTGCCGGCCTCTCCATTCTTCTGTTAATTTAGCGCGATTTTGTTCCCTTGTTTAAATGAGTGATTCGAGAATCGAGTTCATAGCCCGAAAACTTGGGTCGAATGCTTGCATGAAATCGTTCCCGCTCGCGGGCAATTCGTGAATAAAATCTGGAAGATTTCAAAGGACTTAAGGCGCTAGTTTTGGGCTCCCTCCCTCCGCCATAACTGTAACTTGTAAATTTGTTAATGATATCTGGCCAAGAAATCGCAATGCCGCTAATGAATGGAGTAGAGTTAACTGGACCTTAAAAATGAAAACTTTGCTCTTTGTTCCTTCCCGGTTTTTCCTGGCCGTGGAGTATTTGTAGGGCTCAGCTGGTTCTTAGTTCTTGTACCCAGTGTCGTTTTTGGGTGCTTATTATTAAGCATTGCTGTCATTGTCATTGGGATGTTTCTTTGTGATTTGGTGAACAAGGTAGCTGTTCATATAATAGGTGGATTGGATATGGGTTCCTGTGTTTGATGTCTTAAGTTCATGGCTGGTAGTTACATGGAAGGGGAACACAAGGAGAGCCTGGGGGAAACAATACAGTGAAACGATATACCTAGGATGAAGAGAAGCCCTGATTAGGTTTGGCTTTTTGTGGGAGTATGCAGAGTATGATGGTAGCACTACGTTGTCTTCACTGGTTTTATACTTGATGATTGAGTAAACCCTGTTAGGATGGTTTGTTGGAGGGTAATACTAGGATAGTAGAAAAGTAAAGTGAAGTCTCTAAGCTGAATCTTAAGAGGCAGAACTACTTGATGAAGCTAGAATATTTATATAAACAGGTTCGGAAAAAAATGAGCTTCGTATAGAATGTATTGTCATTCACCAATACTCTTGACTCCGAATAATCATTCTTTGCTTAGAGGCTGGCGTAACTTGTATGTTTTAACTTGGTTATCTTTGGATGACAATTGGAACGGTTCACTTTCCTATCAGTTAGATTGTAATTGAACAATGCTAATATTTATACCTCTCTCCTTAATCCTATTGAATGATTAGTTAATTTTCTCCATGGTGGAAGCAGTATGAATGTTATGTTAGTTCACACGGTTCATGACTTGAAAAGAATCTTTGAGTTACATGTATCCAATCTTTGCTTTATGGTTTCATCTTGTGACGGTGCTAGAAATTATTGTGCTGTGATTGAACGACATAGATATCGGTTAAGTCGGACCGTTTTGTGGACCTGTGGTTTGACTCTCCTTTTGCATCTGTCCTACTCCTTTCTAGTTCAGCAATTGACTAGTAAAATGGTCAGACACCAAAATTTTGTTATGCCACTGTACGCTTTATTATTATGCCTGAAATAATATTTTTTGTTGTTGTTAAGTGTAATTCAAGTGTTGCTATATCTTTTGTTATTCTGTCTTATAGACCTGTTTAATGATTAAACTTGTTCCCTTTTTGGGCAGTGTTCATGTTCGGATTTCGAGAAATACATTTTCTTGATGTCTTTCCCCTCCTTCATAACCCTTATAATCATTATTCTGAAATCTCTTTGCCTATCTCTATAACATTACCATGAGTAATGTTATCATGATTCCTTCTGTAGACTTGATTTACATTGCAACCAACCCAAGTCTTTTCTCTCATGCTCAATTGAAAATCATACACTCTGAAAACCTTTTTCCCTTTCATTTCCTTTCCTCCTATCAATATGTGTATGAAGTCCCATGAACTCTTCTCGCCTATGTACCTTCTTCACAGTTCCCTTCCAAGCTTGCCTATTTTAAAAATATAAGATGCCAACTGAAGGGGGCAATGCATCAGCAGTTCCGAACCTAGGAGAACCCATCGACTCTGATGAGAGAATTGATCTAAATGAAGACAATGATCCTGAGGAGGCTATGGATGAAGAGGTTGAATATGAGGAAGTTGAGGAAGAAGAAGAAGTGGAAGAATATGTAGAGGAGGAAATAGAGGTGGAAGAGGAAGGAGAAGAATCAGACAATGATAACAATGATATTGCTAATCATGGTGGTGGGACAAGAAGTGAATATGATGATGAAAAGAAAAAGCATGCTGAACTTCTTGCCCTCCCTCCTCATGGTTCTGAAGTATACATTGGAGGCATTCCTCATGATACCACACAGGAGGAATTGAGAGGTTTTTGTGAATCTGTAGGAGATGTTCACGAGGTGAGCCTGAAGATTTCTGATTCACTTCATATTGTGAGGATAAAAAGACTTTTGACCATCTCCTTTTTGTGACTATACAGGTACGCATGATGAAGGGAAAGAATTTAACTGACAGTAAGATTTTTGCCTTTGTGACCTTTACAAGTGTGGACTTGGCATCAAAAGCCATCAAGGAGCTGAATAATTCTGAATTCAAGGTGCAGGTCCTTAATATTTATGATCCTAACTAACGTTGGCATCTGAATATTTGTGAATGATGCTACTTTTATCTGAAGGAAGCATTTATAACCAAAGTAACTTAGACCCCACGTGTTGTGCGTCGTATACAGCTAGCTGGATTGTTTTCTAAATATTAGATTTTGGCATTTAACATTTGAGCCATTCATTCTTTATTTTTCACTTCTAGGGTTCAAAACTCAAGTGTTCCACATCTCAAGCTAAGCACCGATTGTTCCTTGGAAACATTCCTAGGAGTTGGGGAGAAGAAGAGTTGAGGAAGGCTGTGACAGAGGTTGGGCCTGGAGTTAATGCCATTCAACTGGTGAAGGTTAGTGTCATTCAGGATTTCAGTTGGAGTAGCTAGCTGTTTGGCTCTACTATTAGGTTAACTTTTGTGTAATATTGGGTTACAGGATCCAAGGAACATCAGCAACAACAGAGGTTTTGGTTTCCTAGAGTACCATAACAATGCATGTGCTGAATATTCAAGGCAAAAGATGTCAGATCCAAAGTTTAAGCTAGGAGATAATACACCAACTGTGAGCTGGGCTGATTCTAGGAGCACTAATTCTGCAGCTGCGACTCAGGTTATGAAGGAACATTTTTATACCATTGTACTATGAATGTCATGGTTCGCATGATTAGTGCATGCAATTGTATGATTTTCTCTTGCGACTCTATAAAAGCTATTTGGTAGTCAACTCTAACTCAGTGCTCATCCTTTATCGTTGCAACTTTACTAGGACACCAGTATCATTGGCTGAATCAATGCTCTCGACTGTCAAGTTTTTCTGTTTCCAAGAACTACTTCCATGTTTTGTGAGACTTGCTGCCTGAGCTTAGTATTGGTCTAACATCAGGTTCTCTTCTCCAGGTTAAGGCATTGTATGTGAAGAATTTACCAAAAGATGTAGCACAAGATCAGCTGAAGAACCTTTTTGACTGTCATGGACAAATCACAAAGGTGGTTTTGCCACCAGCCAAACCGGGACAGGAGAACAATAGAATTGGTTTTGTTCATTTTGCCGACAGGTCCAGTGCTATGAAAGCGCTGAACAGCACTGAAAAATATGAATTAAATGGTAATCATCTCTACTTAGATATGTTATCTAGAAGCAATTGAAGGTGGTAAAAGTAATCTCCTGTTAATTTTGATTATCAGGCCAAACTTTGGAGTGCTCTCTTGCAAAACCTCAGGCGGATCAGAAAGCCGTTGGTCTTTCAAACATTCAGAACCCTGGTATTCTTCCAAGGTTCCCACCCTATGCTGGTTATGGTTTGGGTGGGGCTGCTGCATATAGCCCTCTTGCCACAGGATATGGTGCTCCCCCCTTTGCGCAGGTCTGAATTTCTGCAATCTCATTGATTATGTTTTCTTTCTATAATGTTTCATGTAATAGTTGGTTAAGCTGTCACTATGGTTACAAACTGTTTTACTGGATCTTGAGCATTATAATTAATTATCTATTTGGCAAACCATTCCTGTTTTTCATTGACATGATGATGGTTTGTACTTTATGCAGCCGTTGTATTATGGCGGTGCACCATCTCCTCCTGGCATGGCAATGATGCCAATGCTCCTACCTGATGGCCAAATTGGATATATTCTGTAATCCTCATCTACTCTGTCCACTTCCCACCTGAACAGTTTTCTTCTAGATACCCTGAAATTCAACTTTGTCTGAATTGAGATTTCTTCTTTGCATAGGCAACAGCAGGGCTTACAGCATCATCATATGACGCCTTCACATCTGGCTATGAATAGTAGAAGTAGCAGCAGCAGTGGCGGCAGGGGGAATAGAAGTGGTAGTGGTGGTAATCCCAGCCGGGATAAGCACAGCAACGATGGCAGCAGCTACAGTCGCAGATTTCGACCTTACTGACTTCTAGTGTTGTTTTTCCTTTGCATCACATTCTCCTCTTGTGCCGTTTTACAGTTTTCAACAAATTAGAGTTAGAGCCCTAGCCTTTCTGTTTTTATTTTTTTTGCTAGCACAATCAAAGCTCAGATTTTATCTATGTTGCTGAGTTGTTTGTACGTGCTTGATAACTTATATGCCCCATTTCTTGGTTCATTCAATACTTCCAGTTAACTTTTCTACTGCCCCAGAAGCTGTACCTAGTCTTTTGAAAATCGAATGTAATGCAAATTGGATTGTATCTATTCTACTGTACTTGTATTGGAATCAAAGAAAGGATTCCTTGATAGTTGATTCCTTCCTATCTCATTGACAGCAATAAGCAGCAGCTAGAACTTTTAACATCTCAAGTACACATTATCAGAATCAATGAACTGACATCTTCAAGCTAAGGTGAGGTTTACAACTAAGATAACAGCAAGTAATATGCATTAAAACTTGCACTTATCCTAACTAATAATTACTCATTAGCATGTTCAGAAGCATTATTATCAACGTTGACATCCTCCTCGCCTTGATCTTTGGTTTGATTTGCAGCTCCTTGATGGTGTTTCTTCCTCCACTTTCCTCTTCTTTGTTTCCTTTTCTTCCTTTATTGCTGCAGCTGCCCTTCTACCCGCTCTCTTCTTTTTGAACTCTGGAAAGAAGGATTAAACCCAGAAACACACATCATTTCCCCATAAAAAGGGTTTTCTAATCACACTTCTCTCCAAGCATTTTGGCCTTCCATGGTTCCTTGGCAAGATGTCAATAAATCGATCTGGAAAGCAATGCAAGTGAACTAGACCACTTGATCGGACTAACCATCTTATAGAGGCTCTGAGAGGGGAAACGAACTCGTAGAACTCGATTTCGTCCAGCGCTTTCAAGACATCTCCTGCATTGATACTGATAGTTTGCCCCTTGGATCCTTGCAAACGTCATTAGCCCTGAAAATCCACAAGAACCCCAACTCCTTTACCAATGTCACCAAATCTAAAGCTGGAGACTTTTTCTTAAATGGGAAAGAGGGGAAAAAATTGGATCCTCAGAGTTAGTGAACCTGAGATTGTATAGTATTGAACTAATCCGTTAAAATCCGACAAAATAGTTGACCAAATTATGCATCAGTGTGGGTAGTTATCAACCAGCAGGTATAGAAAGGGACAAGTTGCAGCATAATTTCCTCCGAGGCCCGATCTGGAAGAAGAGGAGAAAGAAACCAGCACGACAAAAACTAGCAAACAGTCAAACACCTCGCATCGTACTCGAAGCTGCCCAGAAATCGCCACCAGAGGATTTCCCCCTCGCCGCCGCCATCTCTTTCTCTCGTCCCCCGTCGTTCGCCCATAAAACCCTCGCCGACCCTTTGACCATTCCTTCCAAGCTACTCTTCCTGACTTCCTGTCCAAGCAAAAACCCACACGTCAAAGCCCAACAAAACCAAACTGAAGCTTATTCCACCATCGATTCTTCATCCTTATCGCCAATTCGCCATCGTCAGATTCCATCTTTTCCTCCCCAAATTCCCTGGAAAACTAGAACCCTCTTTCCATCAAAGCCTTTTCTCCAAAACCCAAGTTTAAAAACCCTTCCTTTCTCTTAATTCCCCAATTCTCAGCTTTGCCAATTTCCCAAAATGTCGTCTTACGGCCGATCGTACTCTTCCGAGTCCTACGCGCCGTCGGCGCCTTCCCAGCCGGAATCCTACCGCCAGCAAGAACGAGATCGCGGCGCCAGCGGTAGCGCTCGGCCGCAGCCGAGTGGCTATGGAGTTCACCAGAATCAGCAGTATCAGCAGCACCCGCCGGCGTATGGGCAGGGGCAGAGCAGTTCTTCATCGGGGTACTCGGGATTCCCGCCGGGGACGCATCCGGATGTGATTCGGAGCTTTGAGATGGTGGATGTTGATCGGAGTGGGTATATTGATGAGAAGGAGCTGCAACGAGCTCTCTCTTCTGGGTATCAGAGGTTCAACCTCAGGACTATTAGGTTGCTCATGTTTCTCTTCAAGAACCCCCACGATGCTCTTCGAATTGGTATGTTAGCCCTTCTTCTGCAACTTTGGGAGTAACTGATTTTCTCTGAAGTTCCAACCTTTACTAGTTTCCAACTTGTTCTTTTGCTTTGCATCTTCAATTTGTTAACCTCCATCGAACTTTTGAAAATGTTGGCTGAATGGGGTTCTTGTGTGATTCAGGGCCTAAAGAATTTGCAGCTCTCTGGAGTTGTCTCGGCCAATGGCGGGTAACTACTCTTATTCCTGGTTTCCTGTTTACTTGCATTTGCTTCTTGATTTGTGAAAATCTGCTCTCTTCTTGCCTTCGCTAGTCTGCTGAATTTCTGCAATGAGTTCGATTGAGATGTTCTTGGCACTGTCAACTGAAATCTCGTGTATTGTTTACAGGCCATATATGATAGATACGATAGGGACAGGAGTGGAAAGATTGATCTGTTCGAACTGAGGGATGCTCTTTACGGACTTGGATATGCAGTCCCACCTTCCGTTCTTCAGATACTCATGTCCAAGTATGATGATGGAAGTGGCAGAAAGATCGAACTTGGCTTCGATAGTTTTGTCGAGTAAGTTCCCCCTACTCTTAATTAAAGTGCCAGTTCTTGAACATTTTCCTTCCGTGCTTTATCAGACTCGAGATCTTATTCGTCTTCATTTCCTTCTTCTGGTTTAAATTGCAGATGTGGACTGATTTTGAAGGGATTAACAGAGAAATTCAAGGAGAAGGACAAGCGATACGTAGGCCAAGCGACGTTCAACTATGACGAGTTCATGTCCACTGTCCTTCCCTTCCTGGTGGCATATGATTGATCCTGAAACCCTCCAACGACGAGTCGCCAGCCCATTGCGGAATTCAATTTGTTTGTTTGTTCATTTGTTTCTTCATGTATATGTAGAATATAGTGTGTATGTATAGATTCGATCTGTACGAGGTGGATATGTAAAATTGAGAAGGAACTTAGCTAGTATTCAAACATTCTTCTCTGTACATACAGCTTGGCTTGAATAAAATGTGATTGATCTTTCCATTGCTGCATAAGCATTTTACAGAAACATTCAACTAGGCAATAGCCAAATATGGACTGTTCGACATTACAAGTTTTGACGACGGACCAATGACCTAAAATCTCCATGCCCTGTAATTGCTTGTGGAAAACTCTCAAGGGAACTTCGGCTGCGACGGATTGGTTGGTGGCCGACGGACAGGCCTTATGGGGGATTTCGTAAACCAAGTTGTGTACAGGAATTGCTTGTGAGGCCCGACGTGATTGCATATGAGCCTAATCTTTTGCCTCTCCCGCATCCATCTCAGGACTATCTTCATGTGCCTTTTCCCTGTCAACCCTTTTAAACCAACTTCCTGCAAAAAGTTCGTGACCTGTCAGGTTGCTGTTTGCAGATCATAAAAGGAAAACCTCATAAAGCACAGACCTTTAAAGCTCTGAGAGAGTTTGCTGTTCAAGTGAATCAAAGAAAATCAAAGACAATCAGACAACATAAACATACCTGAATCTTTTCCCAGGTTTCTGAAACAGTGAGAGGGCCGTGTTCTTTCACAACGTCGAAAATCGCTCTCGTGATGGTCTGTGTTTGCTCAGGTGGGTCCTTCAGCTCGATCGGTTTCATTTTAGGCTTTGGTTTGGTTGCAAAGAACCTAATGAAAGTTCCGAACACATTCTGCTTCATCATTCCCACACAATTGCTCAAATCAGCTGTAAGCACACCAGAAAATCAGTCAGAGAATGCTTAATTGGTCTTGTATACTGTCTTTCTCTTCAAAATAGATTCTCTAAAACTTTGAACAAGGAACAATAAACACACATCATCACAATTCACATCCTAGAATTACAATGAGCTCTACAGAAGTGCTGCTACTTGCAACAAGAACACAGAATTTCCTGCACCAAATGAAGCAGCAGGGAACCCACCTATGAAACCCACTACAGTAACAACTCCCCAGAAGCAAGATTCCGATAGACGAAAACCAAGAGCGCCATCGCGCTCTAATTTTCAATACCCGTTTAATATACAGAGTGAGCGAAGAGAGCAGCTATATGGGTGATAAAGAGAAACATGGGCTTTGATCAACGACACAGTAAATCAACCAAGGAGGAGTCGACAAGTTTCGCAGCTCGATTCACCTATGCAATGCAAGTGAAGTAGCAGCGATACACCAAAATGTACTCTCACCTAGTCAATTTGTCGAACACTTGGTGGTCATACAGTTATGGGGTAGGTTTATGTGTCGAATGGCATTAACAGATGGGAAAATGTACGGTAGACTCTGGGGTGGCCGGGGTGTGCCAGAGACGGCAACGCCGGCGATAATTGGGTGGTGAGGCGGCGGATTAGGAAGGGGAAGGATGTGTGATCTCGGAATGGGGAAAGTGGCGAGAGGAGACGAAGGTCCCTTGTTTTTTTTTTTTTTTTTTTTTTTTGGTTTGGTTAGCGAGATGTAGGGGGTGTACATGGGTCGGGTGGTTCGGGTTTAGCCATTTTAATCACCCGACCCATGCACTACGGTTTAGAAAATATCAAACCCAAATCCATCCAAAAAAATTGAAACCCTACGGTTTGTTTCTAATTGGGTTGGGTCGGGTTGGCGATATTTTTATGTAAAAACCCAACCCAATATAAAATTTATAATTATTCTACATCATAAATATATTTATAACTAATTAAAATTTCAAATGAATAAACCGAGGTGAAAGTTATCAAAATTCACAAATGTTGTTTGAATTTTAATAAAATATATTTAGGTCTCCCTTCGCCCTTCTCCCTTCCGATATTTGTTGAATACGCTAAATTTTTTATAAACCATAATATGTTATTCTATTAAAATTGTACACAAGAAAAAGGATTACATGAATCGTAACTATATTCAATTTATGTCTAAACTTTAAGTCGATGAATGCATCAGATTATGGAGAGCATGAGAGAAAAACATGGCGAAATATCTTAATTTTCTCATAAGTATGGCTATATACGACATAAATATTTTTTAGATACGAACTCATACTAATAGTTGGAACATGGGTTGGGTCGGGTTCTACGTGTTGTGTAATCCAAAATCCAAACCCAACCCAAAAGAGGCGGGTTGTACAAAATAAAACCCTCACCCAACCCAAAACCTTCATTTTAGCGATAAATACGGGTGGGTTGGATCGGGTTGGACGGGTGGGTCGGTTTGCGGGTGAATTTCTTCACCCCTAGCGAGATGAGTGGAAATAGGGCACAATGGTCATCTGAGTCACTGAATTATAGGTTGCATGCTGCAAAAATCTCAAAACTATTCATTTTTACCATTCTAGTCCCTCGTTAAAGGTTGTTAGATCGGTTATATACTACGCCGATTTAACTAGTGATATAGTCTAATAACGATACAACTATTTAATGTCAATTTTAATTAAATATGTAGGAAAATGGGAAACCATTAACACAAAATAAATCATAATGCATATATTATATATATATATATATATATATGGTGACTACTTCGGCGCACTCACAAAAATGAGTGCGTTCAATGCACCCAGCTCAAAAACTAGTCTTAAGGAGTCGGATTTTGAATTTTAATTTGTAGAATTAGTATAATATGATGATATAGCATATGATAACAACTAATTAGCGGATTACCCTAAGCCCTAGACCTCCAATTTTGAGTTTTATCCCTAAACCCCAAACTATAAACCCTAACCCTAACCCTAGATCTTTAAACTCTAAATCCTTCAAATTAAAGCAAATCTTTCATGGTTTTTGTGCAAATTCATGTGCGTTATTGTTCATCACATCATAAGTGATGATTGACATCATTTTGACATAAATCGCATGTTTAAAATGACGGTTATGAAGTGAGTGCACTGAATGCACCCAAAAAAGTGAGTGCACCGAAGACGCCACCATATATATATATATATGGTGGCTACTTCGGTGCACTCACTTTTTTGGGTGCACTGAACGCACCCACTTTTTTTTTAATCTTAACCGTTAGATACATCTAACGGTTACAATAATTTGATTTGTTTATAAATAATTATTAGCTAATAAACTATATTATATTGATTAAAATAATTTGAACTTATTGATAATTGCAAATGAACCCCCAACTTTAATCCTCCTCTTCCCCGTTTCTTTTCCCCTCTTCTTCCTCTCACCAACATAAACATATTTCTCCCTCACATCAAAAAGACAATCAGATTATTCTTCTTCCCAACCTCTGTCAAACTTCCCAATTAGACTTCCTCTATCAAATTAATTACACAACAGGAGGTCACTATTTTTCATTTCTTCTTCCAATTTGAAGAATTGTGTAGCTGGCGAATTGTTTGCGTCGAAAGAACTTTATCAAACTACAATCGCCAGTCAATTGCGGACAACCGAAGTGAACAAAGCATGGAAGCAACAATGGACATACAGTGTTGACGATGAATCATGAGGATAGATCAATGTGAAACTTCAAAGTAATAAAGTAATCATTGAATTGTGTCAATATAATTGGCCTCGCCAAGCAATATGAGAAAGCAACAAAAACCCCAGATCCCTCCGCCCACCAACCAATACAAGAAGGCAACAAAATATGATAGTGAAATTCTGCTTGTAATAATTTGTGCTCCTTCATTCATTAATTAGTGCTCCATAATTTATCAGTTCGCGAATTATTTGCAGCCTCATCCAAAAGCACGCTGAGATGAGATTTTGAATCGCACCGACCAGTTGCTGTTGGTATTGGTGATAACGAAAACAGTGTCCCCGCCGGATCCTTCCTCGTCGTCATCGTCGTCTAGAAGGTGCTTCTCCAACTCATGGAGCCGATTCATCTTCTTCTTCTCAGACTCCTGGCCACCACCCGCCGCCGCCGGCGGAGCAGCAGGTGTAACACCAATTCCCCTGTTATTCTGCCTCATCTAAATAGGCTGAGTCGACTGGACCGAGTTCGCAAACTGAACTCTCTGCATAGTTTGAATTGGGGATTATTCTACTGTTCCATGTATTTATACTTTGTAGGCTGGGCCTCAATTGCTGAAGCAACGGGAACCCATAGTGTTGTTGTTGCTAATGTTGAGAGGCCGCTAGCAATTCAGACGAGAAGTTATTGCCAGAGATTTCTACGGGGGAAAGAGTTGAAATCGGAGAAGTAGTTGTGGTGGTATTGTTGTCTCCAGGGCAACGACGATGCAAGCAATAGTCGGATTGGTACGCTGGTGGCGGAGGATGAGGATGCAGGCCACTGGAATTTAGTTGTCGCTTGGGAAAAGTATCAACGGGGAAGAGGGGAAAACAATCGCGAAAGAAGAGGATTTGGGGTCTAATTGCAATTATTAATAAGTTTAAACTACTTTAATGTACATAATATATTTTATTAGTTAATAATGAATTATAAATAAATCAAATTATCGTAACCATTAGATGTAATCAATGGTTAAGATTAAACAGGAAAGTGAGTGCGTTTAGTGCACCCAAAAAAGTAGGTGCACCGAATACGCCACCATATATATATATATATATATGGTGGCTACTTCAGTGCACTCACTTTTTTGGGTGCACTCAGTGCACCCAACTCTAAAAGTGTCCATAATATATCAAATTTTGAACTTTAATTAGTACTCTCAATCTAATATGATGATATGACATAGAATCATAACAAATCAATCTATTACCCTAACCCCTTAACTTTCAATTTTGAATCCCAACTCAAAATCCCAAATTGTAAACCTAAACCCTAACCCTAAATCCCTAAATCCTAAATCCTTTGAATTAAAGTAAATTGTGAATGGATTATTTTCAAATTCATGTGCTTCTTGTTCATGATATTATAAGCAACAATTGATACCATTTTACCATGAATCGCATGCTCGGAATGACAATTATGAGGCGGGTGCACTGGTGCACCCGAAAAAGTGGGTGCACCGAATACTCCACTATATATATATATATATATACCATATGTGCATACAATTTACATTCATATTTAAATAAAATACACATTACGAATCAAATGAAAATTTCTCATATTTAAATCCTAACACAAAAAGTCAACATGCAACATTTATACTTGAATATAACAAAACATTCATATTTAAAATTTTACATAAAAAAAATCTTTATTTAAATAATATACAATATTACAAACAAAATGACAAATCTATCATATTTATATAGAATAAGTTTTTTTGTTAATTAAATTCACCAAAATAAATTATTCTTTTAAAAGTTCAAAGATCGGTCATACTCATATCATTGTTTTTTTAGAGTCTTTTAATGCCACTTTATTTGAATGTTTTTGTCTGCTTTGTGTTCAACACCAATTAAATTCGATTGAAACGATCAACATGATACTAGTTTAACAACCAAGTTTCGTTTATTACATTTCCTAATCTCTTACTATATGAAATTAATCCAAAAATTACCCTAGTGATCATTCATCATAGTACATATGTTCTATGTTGTGACCTTGATAAAAGTTCTCGTTCTTATTTTTAATAATTTACATTTTACAACCATAAATAAGCCAATACCCAAGCCCAATATCATATTTCTAGTGATTTCAACTCATCACTCCAAAATAAAAGAGGAATTAATAAACACTATATAGATGAATACTATGTTTTAATTTATCGTCTGTGATTATAACAGCTTCATTGAATTGTTGTGGCAAATGACAATCTGTTCATCTTATCATTGTTCTATATGCATGATCTTCTCAAAAGTTTTCGATCTTATTTTTAAATAAAAAAATTTATGCCGATGAATACTCCAATACTCAAAACCCTCCTTTTCAACTCATCACTCCAAAAATAGGAGAGCAGAATTATTGAAACACAATATAGTTGAATACTATGTTGTTAATTTGTCATTTGTGATTATAATAGCTTCATTCGTGTTGTTGTGTCAAATGACAATCTGTTCGTCCTATCATTGATTTCTAACAACATGCTTACATTATAGTAAGGAAACTTAACAATTCGAAGGTGATTCTTATGAATGTAAATTCAAATTCGATTAATCCTATGTGTGGCCAATAGAAAACATAAGAACATGTAAGCTTCAATTTCTTAACACCCTTGAATTACACTTCTTTTTCTCGGAAAAGCTGTCCAGTTCAGACAAGAAAGAACTGTAAATGTGCTTAACACCAATTATAGTGGCTTATCTTTCTGGTTTCACCAACCCTTTCTCCTTCACTCAAAATCACGGATCCAAGACGGGAGATATCTGAAGTTCTGTATGAAGCTAACCAATGCTTTCATGGAGAGCCTAATGAAATCCCTTCATTAATCGATCAACAAAACCAAACATATAAAGAAAAAGGACAATACTTCCAGTTTCCCCAACCAACTATGGCCTCAAATCTTCTATAACTCTTCTCTTCTATAAGTCAAACCAAAAGAAACTATCAGTAAATAGTGCAAAAAGAAGAAAGATCAAAACTTCCTAGTATGTTAGTGTTTTCTGGCAGTGTCTACGTTTTATTGAACTCTATTGCCTTTTTTGTACAACATCCGGTGTATCTTTGGTCTATCTGTAAACCATAACTGTAACTAAATGAAGAAAGCTCAAACTTCCATGTCTTTCCATTCCAATTCCTCCTCCTCACTGCAATAAAAGCAAAGAGAAACAGCAGAAACCCCAGGTTAGACCACTCATTCATAAACCCAAATATGGCTACTGCACTGCCCCGTTTGGGATTGTCTTCCTACACATTCCAAACTGTTAGATTGAACACGGTGTAATTTCTTTTGTAAATAGCACCCCAACACTATCAAAGGTGCGATAGCACCACAACGCAGTTGCATAGAACTAAGCAGGGTTCATGCCTAAACCACAACTTATAAAGCTGGAAAACCAAAAGATTATGCCAACTCAGAGAAAGTTGCAGGACAGTGAGATGCTGTAGAGTGGATGAGCAGTCACTTTTCGAGAGGGAAGAATGGTGAAAAGCTTTCTGGGGGACCATATTATTATCTGTCAATTTTATCTTTCTACACATGTGATTTAAGCAAGGATGGTGCATTTGGAAATGTTAAAATCAAGGGTGAAGATGGACAATGATGTTGAAAGGCACCAGTAGTCCCTCAATACATAATCGTTCAAGAGCATCAAATTGATGTTACACACGTTTTCTGGACATCTATAATGAGAGCAACAAGAAAATATCTTAAACATGGTTTTTGGTGGTGGATAACCAGATACTATATATCCTATCGGTTCAAACCCACCAAACCTATCATATCATGATGCATGAGAAAAAAATAAGAAAGTGGGTGTTTACTATTTAAGCAAAGAAACAAAAGGAGTCTTGAAAGTCAACAAAGTCAGGTAATACCATATGCAAAGAAACATGCAGTAGGTCAGGTGACAAGCTGGCCTATGATTTTTGTATACAGGATTAATCTCTCTAATTTTGCTAGTTTAACATGAGATTGTGCCAGAAGAACTAACCCTGAAACTTGAAAGTGATGTTTAGTAGCTCATGTATCATGTAGACAAAAGAAAAGACGAGAGAATCAAATTTGGAGACTTCCAGTATTCTGTAAAGAAATGTATGGAAAGTGATATGTTGGGGGTGAGAAAAAGGGTGGCTAAAAGCGGCTGCTTTTCTTGCAAGGGTGATGGGTACTAACTTGGACTTTTGTGAAGCCGAAGACAGAATAGAATTTTCTACAGTTTGACATGCATGATTGCTAGTTGGCGATAAGGAAAGAGATGGAGACCCTATCAGGAACCATATCTTGTGGTTAAAACTTAAAATAACTGAAAGACAAACCAACTCCCAAGCTGCCCTTTCCTGGAATTAGACTGGTGAAATTTAGGTGCGACAGGTTCCTTATGAATATAGGTTCAACAGTATAACATGTCCATAAGATTACAAAACAAAGGACTAATGAGGTCTTAAACAGGTATCTAGGTCTGTCATCTAGGTTTTGAACGGCTTGGGAAGAAACTTGGTAAAGCCCAAAGGAATATGATTTCAGGAAAAAGAAGCACATTTTGAGATGAATGCACTGACACTATCAAAGTGGAAAAGTTACATACTTTCAGATTCTTAAGAGACTGTAAGGTTGCGACTGAAATCTCACCTCAACCGACTTCACCTCTGGTAGTGTGGACTTTAGTTTTACTGATCTTCAAGTGTTTTCTGACCTCTCCCCCTTCTTTGTGTGCAAAAAAGTGCTCTCATAAACACATTAAATAGGCCGCCAAAAATACTATCAGACTGAAAAATGGAGAACCCTGCAAAAAGACAATGTAAAGCAATTAAACATGACTGAAACTTTCTCCACAAACTTAACTAAGAAAATGTCAAAAGGGGATGAAAGGCTTACATCACTCCCTGATGCAGAAGTATAAGCAATGTCAGTGCCTTCAGGAAGGTAAGCATGGAAGCCCATGTTATAAACCGGCGACCCATCTGGATAAAAGAGGCCATAGTTCCTCTCAGAAGTAGGGCCAGGCTTTAAATTCTCATTGAACAATGCAAAAACATGCACATCAATCGGCACCGATGGCTTAGCCGGGGTGCCCTGCCTAGCCTGTACTCTCTTAAACAAATTGCCATTGTACAACCCAGCATTCTGCGGCGTAGCTCCAACTTCATCAGCATCGCCTTTCGACGGCCATCCAGTCTCCGATACTTTAACCTCGATGTTCGTATGCCCCATCGCCTTAATCGCACTGTAGACCGCATCCACTTGAGCATACAACATGTTATCATAGTACAAGTTGGTGATAGGATCAGTCATCCCTGTGTTATTCGACCCGAAAAGGGCGTAGTCTAGAGACACCTCATCAGGGCTACCCTTGTAAGCAAAGAAAGGGTACGCATTTATGAGAAAAGGGTAGCCAGTCTGTGAGTGGAAACTCAGCAAAGGTTGAATAACTTCAGCTAGATCTGGCCTAAAGCTTCCAGCAGAAGGTGGGTAAGAAGTGGCTAAGATGTTGAGAGAATGCGCAGTTGTGATCGTGACTTGCTTGTCTAGCCCGAGGTTCACGAGAGCTTTGTAGACTGATTGCATTGCTGGGACGAGATTGTTGAGCAGTTGAGTGTCGTTGCTGTTGTCCACCTCGTTACCAACTGTGATGCAGGTGATTTTGGTCCGCCCAATGTACGGCTTCACGTGGGTTTCGATCCAGGCCTGAGCTTTGGCAGCGTCGGGCACGCTCTGAATGTATTCGTTCCCGAGGCCGATGATGAACTCCACGTTCGTGTTGGCGAAGGCGAGCAGCACGTTCGGATCGGCGTCGTAGAGCTTCACCCTGCTGACGTTGAGCGATTGGAGGAGGCCAACGACACGGGATGGGGATGGAAGGTTGTTAGCGATCTGGCCGTAGTTGATTCCCATACCCGCGCCATGTGTTTGAAGAAATGCCTCTGAGAAAGGGGAAAGTAAACAGAGATTGTAAGGTTGGAAACTTAATATTAAAGAGCACATTATGCTGCTCCAATCCAATTCCATGATAGAGCAAGCACTGAATCGAACCAAGATGCTTTCTTTCAGCAGAAGATTCAGAAGCCATGGATAGCTTCAAATTCAATACAGTAACTTTGCTGAAAGATTGGGGGAAGGGAAAAAAGCTGGAGACTTTCTGGTGCAAAGCCGAAAAAAGGAAGAACCCAATTGGGGAAGAAAGGAAGATTGGCCAATTTCAATCCTTTTTTCTTTCCATTTCCAGACACTAACCTGAAAGAAGCAGAAACAGGGGAAGAGCTCTGACAACAATGAGGGAGCTGGAAGTGGAGCAAGCGGTGGACGCCATGGCTGAGCTGATGGCGGGAGATTCCGGCGGGTGGAGGAGGAGGCGGCGGCTGCTGCTTCTGCCACCGCCACTAACCGCCGGAGGAGGCAGAGGCGCTAGCAGGAGAGCGCTGTAAGTTGGGCCGGTGACCCCTTTTTTTCTCTCTCTCTCTCTCTGGCGATTTACCAGGGAACAGCAATAAGGTTTTGGGTTTGTTAGCCTCCAGGTTGGTATTTATAGTCTCTTGTATGGATACAGAAAGGTAAAAAGTTCCCACTAAAAGTCTTATTTCTCATTTTGTTTTTCAGCTTATTTCCCAAAAAAAAATATTTGAAACCAATTAACAATGCTTTAAAATAAGTAGATTTTCCCCCAACTGATTTATTCGCTACGCCGATTTACCTAGTGGAATGTTTCGATTGGTAGTATAATTGGTGTGTGCCTGTTCATGATGGTTTAACAAAATATGTAGAAATGTAAAAACCTATTAACAATAAATGAATTTAATCATATATAAAACATATTTGAAGTCAATTTACTTACGATTGATATTGATATTTAAATAAAATGTGATTCATGATAAAAGTACATATACACATATTTAAAAATAAAATGTAACATCAATATATAAACGTTTATACTTGAATTCAACAAATAACATCAATATTTAACTTTTAAACTCATAAATTAGATGATAAATTAATTTTTTATTAATTAAATTCGCCAAAACGACGTTATTTTACTTAGAGATCATAAATCGATCATGAGAATCATACCAATTGTGTCACCCCAGTTTCATGACCGGTGCCGGTTGAATCAGGTTCAACCGGTGGCATGTCGGCCGGCAGGCCGGCATGACAACCATGTCCAAAGACACTTGGCTAGTTGGCTTGGATTTAGTAGTTTCTCATAGGTGAAAAATGTTGAGTTAGCATTCTATTTGAGAGTATTAACTAATTATTCAGCTGTCTTTTGTTAATAGCAAAAGTTTGCAAGGACTCCAACTCTAATGCCTGATTCTTGATACAAGTGAATTGGTTGCATCAATCACCTTAATTAGGTATAGGTTAGGATGTATAATTATTGGTTATACATTTGAGATCTGATCTATTGGTTTTGAGTGCGATCAGATCTAAAGAATGAGATTAAAATACACTTTATTTTTCTTATTTCTATTAATAGACTTATATCTCTTTTGTTTTAATAAGATTTTAAATAAATTGCATAGAATGAAAGAAAATATTCAACATAATTTTTTTAGGGTCTTTCGGCCACAAGAAAAAACAACCGCCATCGGCCCAAGATTCAACAATGGTAACCTGAGAGTCCCAAGTGGCCAAGTTGGGCTATGACCTTTCAGAAGATAATGAAAGGTTTTACACGTCGGCTAGTTTGGATCCTAGTCAGCCATGAGAAATAACTAGCTGGAAATTAGAGCTTTTGAAACAACAATCAACTTAATTATGACTTACCATTAAAAAAAAATTATCTTTAATTTTGTCATAGTTAGGCCAACAAGGCTAAAATAATTTATTTTCTTTCTTCTTTTAAAAGTGTTATTTCTCACAAAGTTGTTCAACCCCTAAATTAAATAAACCTGTTATATAGCTAAATAATTATACTTTATTCTTATCCTCTTATCCCCTTCTAATTGTTTTAGGATTATGGGGAAGAAGATGATAATTTGATAATGAAAAAGTTCTGATTGTAGCAAATTCTTCAACTTTGCTTTCGTTTTTATCCTCCATTTTTGTTCTTTTGTTGTTGGTGGCGGTTTTATTGATGAAAGCTTTGTCTTTTTCATTGGAGGAAAGCCAATTAGAACGGTAAGTGTTTGTTTATGAGCAAGGGATAATGAAAATAAACAATTATCTTAGAAGAAAGGGAAGCAAAAAAATTCTAATTATTTTATTTCAAATTATATATAAAGAGTCACATTTCGAACCCAATGATAGTCATAAGCACCGTCTCGTATTGTTATAAGTTCTCCGAGCAAACACTAGATCTCCTATAAGCATATGCCCTCCGCCTCATACTACCCTACCCAACTCTCAGGACGCTTGTAAATAGGGCTAAGTATCCTCCAATCATGTAACGTAGTATATAGGTCTAGGCGAAAATTACAACGGGGCGCACACTCAATCAATCTGTGCACATATCTCATCCAGTGCTAACTTGAACTTAGAAAATCCCTCACCTCGATTGTGTTTGGCAACGGGGGTGCAAATACGATGGTACAAGTTGAGGGGTAAATTGTAGGAGGGTGCAAGTTGAGGGAGGGTGCAAGTGGAGGGGTAAATTGTTATTTGGATGAAAAAGTAGGGGGTGCAAATAGAGTGGGTAGTGAGTAATTATATTATTACAAAATAGATTTATCAAAATTATAAATTATCACAAAATAATAAATAAATATAATTAATAAATATTTATTATATAATAATGCTAAAATGATAATTAATTATAGCAATTGTAATAATCGTTGATCGAGCGATATCGAAGCTAGGAACCCAATTCGTAACTTGCCATCCTACATTGTTCTCGTGTATAATTTAGCTTTAATTTGAATATGGTCAAACTTAGTCAAACACGTTCGAAACTGTAAGTTTTAACTATATGATCAACTAAACTGAGTCAACCAAACCGTTCTTCGCTACTGTTGGGCCTAGTATTGACATACGTGGGCCTAAGGCCCATGGTTACAAAAGCCCACAAAAGGATAATTCAAACCAGGGCGGTTTAAGCCCAAGCCTATCGTGGTAACCGCCCGACACTGACGTGCGGCTGACGTCAGTAAACCGCCCGACAAAAGGACTGAGGCTCTGCCAGACAGAGAGGATCATACATTCGTACTGACACATCATTTAATGTCTTCAGAGGCGTCCCAGGCCGCCCGACATGGCATTAAATGTCTCAGTACGTAGACAATCTAGTATAAATAGCCCCGAAGGGGCAGCATTTATGGTAACTCCGATCAACCGAATTCTCTCTCTTATTTACATTCATCACTTCTCTCTCTAACTTTAGCATCGGAGGAGGTCACAGGTTACACCTGAGGACCTTTCTTGTAGGATCCCGGAGGTCGCCTTCCATCTATTGAAGCCGCCAGGGGTCGTGAAGTCTCACACAACCGCCTGGGACGATCCAGGTACAAACAGCTACCTTTTTCCATAAGCACTTCTTATCTCTAATTTCCAACGCAAATTCAAGTCAACCAAGAGATCTCGATTTGACTAGACGAACATTGATAAACTTGCTCTCGGAGTCAAATGGTCAACCCCCTAACATATCCACATAAGAAAATAAATTGATTTTTACCAAAAAAAAAAAATAATAAATTGATAGTGTTAATTAAAAATTTATTAGAAAAATAATTTCCACCCTCTCTCCCTCCCCCTTCTTCCTTCCTTTCCTTACACCCCAATTCGGGGGTAAGCCGAAATGGTAATTCTGCACCCCCGTTTTACACCCTCTAATGTTACAAATTATCCAAACAGTTAGAAATTGTGTTTACCCTTCTCATTTGCACTCTCCTCCCATTTACACCTCTTCTCAAATATAGTGTAAAATTATATAATCCACGATTCTACCTTCGTTGAAATACACTCGGATTCATCAAAATGCACGAAACCAAGCTGGGGCTGGGTTACCAAATAGTTATTTTTTGCATACAAAATATTGCAGAGGAAATATCTAGGAAGGTGTTGACTACTGTTTGACGAATTGAAGTGAAATATTACCGCCGTGGAAGGCACGTGCGAAACCACCGTCCACACTCCACCAGGCCGCGTCGTCGGCGTCACTCGCACGTGACTGCCGGCTGCTGCGGCCCCGCCGACTTGTGTCGCTGTTTTGTGTGGTTATGTTGTGGCGGGCTGGCGGCAGCCGGCGATTGCGTCCTTTTCCTCTTAACTCTTGTAAGCGCTGCAGAAGAAAATTGAAGAAGAGAGAAAATTGAATTTTATATAATATATTTGGCCTGCAGAGTACTGCAAATAGAATTGGAGTGAATCTCTTTTTTTGAAAATTAGGAGTAAAAATGCTAAGCTAGATCTACTATGGTTATTAAAGAATAGAGTTCCAAACTTCCATGCGAATAAATCACCGATAAAATAAGAAACATAAATTACTATACAATGTTTTACGTTTGAGTTAGGGATTGCAACAAAACCCGAACCCACGGGTACCCATCCGACCCAACCCGGTCAACGCGAGTAAAACCCGTGTTGACAGGTTTTGGGTCGGGTTTCGGGTTTAAACCCGCTATACTATTTACCGGGTCAGGTTGGGTTTGGGTTTAGGTAAGCCCGCCCCATGGGTACCCGCCCACACACATAATTACTTTCCCGGTATATTTAATATTCTAAATAATATATTTTCCTTAAACAACTAATATTCTTTATGTTTGTGGAGACGTGTATAATTTGTTCTTTCTAATTGTTTAGAATGAAGTTGATATTATGAAGTGAAGAATGAAGAAACTTAGTTGACGAGGAAGAAACTTTCAATTAATCTTATTGTTTATAGATGTGTTTATCTTTAATTTTGAACAATTTGTATTGATCATTTGCGGTTTGCTTGTATGCTCTAGATTGGTGTTTTTTGTATGATTAATTTGTATGAGAAAATTGATGTTAAACTTTTATTTTGAAAGAAACTTGTTATTGTAAATTTTTTTACTAGAAAAACCCACGGGTACCATGAACCCGCGGATACCTAGCGGGTTGGGTTGGGTTTGAGTTTTTCAAACCCAAGGGGTTTTACCCCGGGGTTTTTTGGCGGATAAACCCATCGGTTTGGGTTTGGCGGATACTTCACTGAACTTCAAACACAAGTTTCGTCAAGGCATCCTAGAAGATTCAGCTGGAGGTCCAGTGCTTCGGGAGTGTTGTCAGATCCTAGACTCTTTGACGGCTTGTATAGAGTTTAAGGCGGTTCCTAGAACCACCAACAGTGTTGCTCATAGAGTGGCGCGTAAAGCACTGCTTCTGTCTCGTCTATAGTTTGAGTCTTTCGACTTTGTTGGGTGACTTCATTAAGGCGTTGATTGTATGGAATCCTAGGTAGATTTGTATGACTGACTCTTGTTCTCTCTTGATATCACTCGGAAATAATTAAAAAAAAACTTCAAACCCAATTCCACCGCTCAATTCGTTCCCAAAACAAACCCGAGAAGATTGAACATTTGACGAAGTGAAATTGTGATTAATTCTTTTTACTTGTACTTCAAGAATGCACGTATGATTAGTTGCCACCTTGATGATGCTATCTTTTCATATTCAAGTCATTGGCAACTCGAAGAAAACATGAAAAAGGGGGCATTATAATTATTCCATAGAAGAAAGTGTGACATGGGGAAAGTTGGTTAAGGCTTCTACTCAACCTGCCATGCAAAAAGAAAGCCCAAAAGCCTCTCCCCCACTTCAATTTGGTTGGTGCCTAATTCACCCAAAAGACAGACTAGCTAGGGCAGTTGGGGCCCGTCATGCATATGGGAAGGGGAAAAAAAAGAATTTAGAGTCAACATGATTATGCCTCAATTATCTACTAAGCAAATCTTTAGCCAACCAATATGAGTATAATCTAATCTAATTGGATTCCAATTGAAGCATACTGCTTGATTCCCTCCCTCCACCAGTCCACTAATCGCCAACAAGAAGAAAAAGCCCCTAATTATGTTCACTTGTGTATCACACTGTAGCGGTAAGACAAATCCCACATCGACAAAGTACGAGAGAGATCCATGGTTCATAAGTAGGAAACCGGCCTTATTGACAAGATGCTTTTTGGGGTGAAATGGAGGAGTTCTTGTGAGAACTCCGAAGTTAAGCGTGCTCAGTGTGGAGTACAACAAGGATGGGTGACCTTATGGGAAGTCACCTTGAATTACACCCCAAGTCAAAAACCGTGAGGGTTAAGGCCCAAAGCGGACAATATCTTCGTCGGGAAAAGGTTCTGGATGTTACAAGTGGTATCAGAGCCTCTTCGCGTCTCTCTTGCACGATGGTAGGGCAAAACCTTAATGAGGGCTTTGAGTCCCGGGGGGAGGGGGGTGTATGTAACACCTTAGGCAAATCCCACATCGACAAAGCACGAGAGATCCATGGTTCATAAGTAGGAAACCGGTCTTAACTTACAAGACGCGTTTTGGGGTGAAATGGAGGAGTTCTTATGAGAACTCCGAAGTTAAACGTGCTCAGTGTGGAGTACAACAAGGATAGGGGACCTTGGGAAGTCACCTTGAATTGCGCCCCAAGTCAAAAACTGTGAGGGTTAAGACCCAAAGCGGACAATATCTTCATCGGGTTTAGGTTCAGGATGTTACAATAACTTTTTGTCCAAAAAAAACACTATAACTTTTTTTTCTGAGTGATATCAATGGAAAATAATAGTTAAGCTTACAATTCTACTCAGGCCCCCTAAAATACTCTAAAGAAGCCACCCCGAAAAATCAAAAGATTCTAGCTCTACACGAGACAAAAGCAGTGCTTTACGCGCCACTCTATGGGCAGCACTGATGGCGGATCTAGGTACCGCCCTAAACTCTATACAAACAGACAAAGAGCTAAGGATCTGAAGACACTCTCGAAATACCGGACCACCAATCGAGTCTTCTAAGACGCCTTGACGGACTTGGTTGACGACGACTTCGGAGTCACCTTCGACTATCTCGTGGGCCAAGCAATATCCCTTGATGTTGCAACTCGAACGCCAACATCACATGCCCGTCTGACCCACGGATAACAAGCCCAGACGAACACCCGGAGGCACAAACAACTGCGTCGACGTTGATCTTCAAAAAGCCTTCTGGTGGAGGGACCCAAATGGTGGCAGGAAGGAATCGGAGTAGAGAGCTACGGGGAGGAGGGGGGAGAAGAAGATTGGAGATGATGATCATTAAGGCGCACTTCGCTCATTTAGGCGCACTTCGCTAGTACTCACTTAAGGATGATTATGGAAGGATGGGCAGTTGAGGGCGGTAGATCATCAACACTGGCTAAAGAAATGAGACTTGATTATCTATTATGCAATTCAACCATATGGGTAATCATAAATATTGACATTATTTTGTGGATGGTCGTAAACTATCATTTTTTTTAGGTACCGACGTTGAATTTTACTAATGAAATCTATCTGATTCCATTCTATGGAAATGACTGAATAGTTTCTTATATAAAAAAATTAATTAATTCTAATAACTCAAATTGTATGGACTTCAACTAGGTTCGACTATAAATCTTATATCACTGATAACTTTTCCATCCAACTTGTTCGAGCAATTGTGAGTTTTATACAAATTGCATGATTGTTTAGCGTCGAGGACGTAGCAGTTGCCGGCGGCCTCGAACTTCTTCTCCCCATCGGGCCCGACCAGCTTCACCTTGTAGACCGCCTCCGCCTCCACCTTGAAGCTTTGAGAGGAGCATTTCAGGCCGAATGACCTAGAGAAGTTCCTGACTGAACAATGAACATAGACTCGAGGCGGCGGCAGAGGACCTGGTCGTGAAGTTGATGGCAGGGAAAGAAGAAAATGCAGAGTGAAGCCGGCCGCCACCAGCTTTTCTGATTGTTTCTTAATAGTTTGATTTACTACTGGAGAAAATTGAAGACCAAGACTCGAGGTGCAGTTGGCTTGACAAACAATTATTATGTGCGCCTTTACAAGCTGCAACACACAAACCATTACAATCCACCTGACAACTGCAACACCTTTCACCCAGTACAAGCTACATATTCTCAACGCAAAGAAAAACAAACCTCCAAGTCCAAGACCTACTTCAATCCCCTGAAAGACTTAATTCTCACAGAAGAGATTCTTCCTGGTGAGTGTGTATCACGCAGTCAGAAGTAGGGTAAGACACACAGGTCAGGATGTACCCTTCCTTCATTTGATTGTCGTCGAGGAACGAGCCATCCGACTGGTCAACCGAGCCCGATGCCAGCTTCCCTGCACAAGTGCAGCAAGCCCCCGCCCTGCACGAATAGGGCAGGTCGACTCCTGCCTCCTCTGCAGCGTCGAGGATGTAGGTGTCGTCGGCAGCTTCAAACTCGCTCTCTTCGCCATTGGGGCCAATCAGCTTCACCTTGTATACAGCCATGGATGCTTTGAAATTAGGGCTGCATTTTAACCCAAAGGACTTGGAGATGTTCCTCACCGAACCGAGAGCATTGGGGCTCTTGAATATGGTGCTTGTGAGTCTCCTTTGGGCACCGGGTGCGAGGACCGTTTGGGAGGGAACTGTCGCTGTGGCCATCTCCAAATCTGTGGGTGGGAAACACAGAAAACCTAATGATTTACTTCTCATGCAGATACTAGATTCAATAGAGAATTGGGCAAAATGTTGGTAGCAGACTAACAGTATGGCAACATGAAACCGCTAATCTAATTGCATTTGCATATGTAAGCTTTCCTGTGATAGACATAAGAACTGGACTTGAATGTCTATTAAGAGTTAAGAAGGCAGTTAATGTTTGGAGCGTTATGAGAAGATGCGAGCGAAGGGGCTCATGCTCTTCACTCGATACTCCAGCACAGAGATTTACAAAGCAGAAAATCAAAAGGTAAAACCTTTCCATCTCTCCCAATTACACCAAGTTGTACTATCTTCAGTAATAGTTGAAGCATCCTGATATCAAGCCAAGATTCTGACTCTAATGAGATTCATTCCCAGTTCTGGTAGAACAAAAACACGAAGCCATTAGGCATTGCTAAGACATCAATCACCTCCCTTTTTAATTACTAGGACCCAAGATTTCGATGAAAACAAAGCACTCAGATTCATCTTTCGAGAACAATGGAAGCAGAAATGGCATTTCTTCAGGCTAATCCCCCCAGCTCCTGGCAACTTAACTCAATCCAAGGCCACAACGGGAAAATCTATCACTAGATGCGACTTCGGCCTCCAGGCCAGCTCTGATCTCATCAGTTCTACGGCACTCTCTATGCATCTCACGTGTTTGATCAAATTACTCAATGGGCAAACCCAAAATCCAGAAAGATCGAGCCTTTTCACCAACCCGAAACCATTGACCTAACAGATCAGACACCATGCGCAAACAAGATAATAGACAAAAACCCATCCACCGAAACTCCCAAACCCCTCAGTTCTACAGATCCAACATCGAACAGAAGGGAACACATCTACAAGTCTGGAGAAACGGAAGAGAATTACAGATGTGAGATTAGGTACAGAGGTCTCACCGAGCAGTGAAGTTGACGAGGGTGTAGCGGCGGAACAGGGCAGGCGGGTTGGTTGGCGGAGGATGTGAGGGAAGACAAAATGCAAAGGAACTCTCTTTTTATATAGAAAAAACGGAAGAAAGATGGGTTTGAGGGCAATGTGTGGGGTTTTGGTTGGCGATTGGGGGATGGTGGTGGGCAAAAAAGGCTGGCTGGCAGTGGCAGTGGCAGCTCACGAACGGCAAAAAGGTCCCTCTGAATATGCAACGGGCCTGCTAAGAAACAACCCAGTTGAGGCTCAAGAGGTGCTGCTGCCTACAAATCCACCAATTCACAGCTCGAAACGTCGCCATTGGCAACTATTATTATATTCTAGCTTGTCGATTGCCGCCCTAGAGGCTAGACTGACGAACTTGGACACTTGGTTGTTTTCCTTTGAATAAAACATTGTAAGAAATTGGTTGGTGCCCTCTCTTGAACCTTCCCAACTGCTTCGGTTCCCTCGTAGTTGGACTTGGCAAATTGAAATTTGCCTGCTTACTGAATTGACAAGGGCGAGTAACAATGTTGTAAAAACCCTATTGTAATTGATAAGAGCAGAGTAACGAAATGTTTTAGATTACCAGTCGGTCAAATTGGAAATAACGAATACTGACTCTAAGTTATAGATAATTTTAGTGACGTGAAACTGTTCCAAAACGGTTTCACAATCGTTGGTAGTTGGTACTAATAACTCGTAGATTATATGATTAGCAACAGGGCAAGCCTAACTTTGCAGCCAAGCGGATATATATAGCTAATAGGTCCATGGGACCATACAAGAAGCTTTAAATCGCAAGGCAAAATATGAGGAAGAAGAATTGAGCTTCCTCTTTCTGCAGTATGTTCATAAAAGTGTTGGCACTAAAAGTAAACAATGTAGCGGAGAAAGAACAATTTTCTTAACGAACTGCAAGTCCCACCAACCTTCTGCACTCTCTGATGTAACAACATTCCCAGGTGCCAAACAAGCCTATATGGTTTCTTTTCAAATCCTACACAGCCCCCCACTAAAACAATATCCTAAGAGACCACCACCCGGCGCCTGCTCAGAAGATTCTCACGGGAGTACCCATCGTAGTCTTCAAGTTCAGCACTTTAACCTGAAAATTCAGAGACAAGTATGTTTGCCGTTAGGCAAACCGAGCTGATTCGATAGGCAGATTAACAGAAGAGGGATGATAACTCACATTCTGCCAGTTCTTCTTCAGCAGGGAGACAAGGAAGTTGATGCTCATCTGAACGTTCTGGAAGATCTGCTTCTCGTCCATGTCCAAGTTTCCAACAGCGACGCCCATGCACAAGACCTTCTTCAGCTGGAACTTCACCGTTGCCTTGACCTCGTTCACTTTAGCCTCCAGGGACTCTTGATGGGAGACGAGGGTAGGGAACTTTCCTGTGCCCAAGATGAGACACCCTTTGTTATTTCCAAAGACAATTGTAACATTACACTATTTGAGCAAGTATAAAACTCTGTTTGGTGAACTTGCCTGCCTTGTTCAGGCCAGGGCCAAGAAGACGAGGAATCTGCTTGATAACAGATTCAGAGGCCAAAAATGCATGGTATGACTTTGCAAGCTTCTTCACCAGCTTCTTGTTCTTGTTGAGCTTCTTCAAACTCTCCACTTCCATGTATTCCAGATTCAGTGCCTTTGCCTGGTACCAACAACAACAACAACAACAACAACAACAACAACAACAACAACAACAACATACTCATTCAGGGTTGAGAATTTAATTAACAAGGCATACCATTTAAACACAAAAATGGCTCATCTTGCACCATTAAACAACACTAAGCACAAACACATTTCACTATCAACAAAGACGCGATACATACACAAACAAGACCGTTCTTAATCTCAATCTTGGTATTCAATACTTGTAGGAATCCATAGAGAATTAATTACCTCTTCAACATGCTGGGCATCTCCAAGCATGCACACCTTCATCTTGGGGCGGGGAATGTGGGGCAACCTAACTGACCCACTGAAACGCTTGTCCTTCTGAGGATCATAGTTCTTCAGCCCAATCTGGAGCTCCACAGTCTCTGTGAACTTGCGTGGCTTCTCTGCTGATTTAGCCCTGATCGTCGAGATTGCCTCCCTCAGTGCCTCACTCTGAAGCTTACTGCAGCGTGACAAAAACATTAAAAACATTCAGGCACACAAAGATCATCGCTTCACCGAAAATCAGCGCTCAACTTCTCAAACTAACAAAAACCCTGCAGTTTATTTTCTCAGAATGGCACTATGATTAATGTCAAACAATGGGTACGCCTTTGAACCAGGCATTGATATCGCTACATAGAACGGAATGCAGCACATTATTTCAGTATTTCAGAAGTCGCGAATGGAAGAATCACAATGATATGCAAATCGAGCTCGCGAGCTTACCTCATGGTTGCGGGAACCTTCACTACCTGCAAGACAAAAGAGCGGCGATCCGTAGACAAATTAGAAGAATTGCGATGAACAATGGCAAGCAAAGGAAATGGCGGGAACGAAGATCAAGGACAGAAATCGACGATTCAGAAGCAACAAAAACGATGATCTGTTGCGCAGAATCGAACGGGGAGAAAAAAAAAATACGAAGGGGATGAAGTAGAGGAAAGGAATAGAGGACGGTACCAGCAAGAGATGCCCTGATGGAAGCTCCACAGCTCGCCGTAAGAGAGGAATCGGAATATAAGCTCCGCCCAAACCCTAGTTTCCACACAGCAGTTGCGAGTCTGGATATTCCATAGTGGGCTGCATAATTGGGCCAATGGTTTTTTTGGGGCTGGGAAGCAGATGGAAAGCCCGATATGATATTATGCAGGCCCAGTCAGACCTAGTAGACGAAAAGTAAGTCATTGTAATCCACGCATAAAAAGTCAACGCAAACACGTCGATGTTGTGACTTATAAGCAGTGTTATTCAAATCGAGCAGAACCGGTCGGTCCGACCGGTAAAATTGATACCCGACCACCGAATTTGCTTGGTACGGTCAAATAACTGCAGCGGTTGGAAAGGGCGGTTTTGAGCGGCCGGAACCGTTCGAGCCGCTCGGATCGGCCGAACGATTTTTCCCCCTCCGTCTGGAAATTCAAATTTTTTTTGAAAAAGAGCTATCATCATGATTACACGTTGAAAATTTTGTGATCTCGCATTTTGTTCCCGACATCACACGTATTATAGTGGTAGATCTTCCATGTTTGAGTTTTCGCGATCATAAGTTAAAATGTAGTTTAGTAAAATACTTAATGCGATACATGAAACGACGGTCTCTTTTGTAACGTCGGCTATTGGGGTTAATGTCAAAGTTTGGATCTTGTTAATTGGTGGTTCTAAACAGTGGCGGAGCTACGTCTAAGGGAGGGGGTGCATGCAGCCCCCTTGGTTGTGGGCAAAAAAATATTGAGTATATATAGTGGAAGATGGGGATCAAACCTCTGACCACATGATTCACACTGAGCAATCTCACCATCTCGGCTAGAAGAGGATTTTAATTTATTTGACACACACATTTAGTTATATCAGAGTTAATTATCTGTCCTAATATCAAAACACTATCTTCGATCCCAGCAAGGCAGAAACCCCCAATTTCATTTTCGTTTTCCTCTACCCAGCAGCAGAGGCGCTGCAAGTGCACTCGCCGACCTCCAAGCTTCCATCCTCCAACGGCGGCGAGTCCACCCTCCAAGCTCTCCATCTCCGGAAATGGAAGAGACGTAATTACGAGGTAGCAAGCAAGCTGCAACTTTTCCCCAACCGTGCATACAATCGTCGAGGTTCATTGTAGGCGATGTGTGTATAACTATTATTATGTAATTGTACGAATCTTGTGTATTATGTTATTGACTTCATATTTTCGTTTAAAGTTGACTTTTTATTGTATAGTTGATTTTTTCATTACATGAACAAGCACTCCCTTGGCAAATTTTCTGGCTCCGCCACTGTTTCTAAAGATGCTACGCTATTCAATTATCATCGTTACTTCATGCATGCTCGAGATCCTGCTAAGTGGTAGATGAAATTGATACATTTTTAACCTTCATTTTGAACATTAATAAGAAAGCGGATTAATTAAGATGCTCGACTTTCTCTCTTGTTAAGTCCTTACCGCTCCTATAGTTGCTTGCTTGAGCACGATAAAAAAAGGAATGAAGTGTCATTAATTATTTCTACTCAAAATGAAATTTCCAACTAGCAGATTACTAACACTATAGGTTTTAAAATATTAAGATTTTGTGGAAATAGCCAAGAATATGTGGTGATTAAAATAGCATGGTGAAAGTAAAAATAGCATAAATACTTACAATTTTTGGAGAGAATTAAAATACATTAGACCAAGAACATGGTGAAAGTAACACTCACGCCTCATGTGTCACTTTGTTACCTCTCATTTGCTAGCATAGCACGTTAAAATGAGTGGTTAAAGTAAAAAATTGTTGTACGTCCTTAGTCGATAGATAACATGAACTTCTCGAAACTCGTTTTACGGATCGCTTTTCCAATTATATCGCGGACGATTGCTGATTATGCGGACTAGTGATTGATTGCCCCACCGGCGTGCAATGACCAAACCCAATGGGTCGTGTCGCTTGGGTTTTGAACGGAGCAGTGACGTAGCCAGGATTTCATCTAAGGTGGGTCCACTTAGAAGAAAAATACACCTGGTAAAATAATTTTTTGTTAATTTTGCGAATCATTAATGACATAATCTTATATTGGAAAATTTTAGTTAATTAAAATATATAGATTAGCAGTCGAAGGTATCAAGAATATTATTCTATATGCCAACCAATTATTAATGATTTAGTTAGTGTTAGTCGTTATGTTTCGTATGATGTTCTTTATAATAAATCTTAAATCATTAGTATCTATAACTCGAGTTGTCAAGAGATATTTAATAATAAATCTTACACCAAACAATAATTCATGATTTAGTTAGTCATTCACTTACAAATGATGTTATTTGTCAAGAATCTTTTTGAATCAATAAATTGAGTTGTTGGAAGAGGTCCAATGATATATCTTATACTATTTACTAGCACGCTCCCTCATATAAGAAACCCAACTTATAGAAAAATGAAGTTTGCACAAATCCGTGTACCGTGTACTTAACAAATGAGGTCGCCAAAATCCAAACACAAAATCTTTCGATCAACTATTCTCAATTAAATACGCTCTAATTTTCTATATAAATTAACTATAGTACCTAATTGAACAATTTTCCTTCCGAGTCAGAGTGGGTCCCGGGACCCACCCTGTTATACTCTCCCTCCGCCATTGAAACGGAGGAGAACTTGGAGTACTTTTTTTACATATACATTTACTAGCTTTTTACCCGGCTAGTTGGCCGGAGAGATTTATTTCATAATTTATATTAATTAACTTATTTATATGTTTAAATCATTTTGGATCTTCTAAATATTTTGTGTTCTTATTCATAAAAGAGTTTGTAGTATGTCTATATTGGAAATTTCCAATATTTAGCACACTCACTTCTGATGCTTTGGTTTTCTAATCATAAATTATGTCGCTGTCACGTCTCATTTAGAACTTATGTCAAAATTTGTCAACCAAAGCACTAATATTTAGCGTTCGCTTGCCTGAACCACACACATATGTATATATATAGTTCAAGCTAGCATGCGCCAGGAGTACGCTATACTCTTGCGTTCACACTATCATACGACCATTGAGTTTTACTATTTAGACTCCAGATTTTTTGGGGGCATAATACTATACGCTAACCTCTAATTTATGCAAATACTTTGTCATACCTATCTTCTATCGTATCTTGAGTAAAATCCAAAGATAGTATACCTTGATATTATATATATGTATATATGTGTGTGTATATAGTAGACTCAAAATTATCCGGATACTTTGCGAGACCTATCTTATCTCGTCTAATACTCATATTAAAAGTGATACTTGCCTATCCCCCACCCTCGGGATAGAGATCTCACTTTTACCCCCATAACGTCAGACAACCATTGGGGTTGTCTATCATTTGATATGTAATATACAAAGAGGCAAATCCTAAGATCCTGCTAATTATTTCTTATCCTCTCCCGCCGCCCCCTTTATGGAGAATAAAAGGGTAGGGATGACAGGATCATAACTCGATATGGTTTTATTCTATTCATCGTATCGCGTCTGTCAAATTCAGGCGTTGGTACATTATGCCGGGTGGCAACTTTTTGGTACATGGCCTCAAAGGTTATGTTCTTTTTTTTTTTTGGGGCCTCTTTTCATTCTGTTTTGGCACCTATGGTTGTGATCAAAGGTATTTAGCTCCCGAAAGTGATTGGGGTTTTAGGTTCTTTGGAAATCCAATACACATTCATGATCCTCAAGTTTGGACGAACTCTCGACCAATGTTGTATAGATTAGGACTTTTTAGTGAGAAATTCTTAGTAAAGATACTTCATTATTGGATCAATTTATTCACCATATTGAAACTTGACACACACCGTAGCCCTCTTGATAATTAAATTCTATAATCTCGACTCATTTCCATTTTGGATGTTAGTTTTTTTTTTATCAAGACACTTAAATTTAGTATATTATACAATATGTATCAATTGTTAATTTTTGAAGTTTAGATGAAACTTCAACCTGTGGTCATTGTTTATATGTTGGCTTAAAATCTCAATCTAAGACATTCGCACACACTATCGAGGATTTGGTCTTAACATGGTCGTTGAATGTGTAATTTTTAAATATTTTATTACTTATATATTCATATTTGATAAAGTGTGTCTACAATGCACACATATTTCAAGTGCATTTAAAAAGTCATATCATTTGAACAATATCGATGTATTTCATTTGATTATTTGCATTAACTTATTATCTATACAGCATATATCAATTCGTGTTTCTCTAGTTTTGACGAACTGGCAACCAATTTTGAGAGTTGAGATTATTGGATAAAGATACTCGATTGCTGAATAAATATGTTTATTCCAATTGACTATCTTACTAAAAATTGACAACCTTTATTTGGTAAATGTCTAGGTTAGTAGTTGATGAAACGCGATGTTTATCGTAGATTCTTAACAAAGATTCTCTAACCTTCCTTTATGTTATTTTTCAAGAAATCTTGTGTCTCATCCTAGGGTATGAAGTCAAAGTTCGTCAACAATCATACTTAAGTCATTTTGAAAATTTTGATTTATAATTGTTGACGATAACTCCAAGTCTGAAAGAAAATTTCTAATCATACGACTTAGAACCTTAATAGAGGTTGCTCAATCAACATGATATAGAATAAATATTATTAATGTGAACTTAGAACACATTATAGAATTATTGCACATGCGATTTCTCTTCATTTGGGGAGTTTAAGATATAAAATGATCTGAGCAATAAGAAGTCTTTATTAAATAAATAACTACTCGATCAAGATTATACTCTGACATTTTGCTAAATATTTTTTATTTTATTTTATAGACATATAATTTACGAATAAGAGAGTGTTTCATTGCAACAAAACATATTGTAATATAGTTTATTTTTCATAGGTAATTGAATGTCAAATGTTTATTTTCTCTCTTTTCATATAAATTATGTTTAATCGAAAAAATATTATTGTTTATGTGTATGTTTGTTTAATTTTTTCATCAAAATGTAACTTATCATTCAATTTTAGTAACAATGAGTAAATTTTTTACTTCATTAGGTTTAATTAGATATTTTTTATTTAAACAAATGTGGTATATGTTACTTTCTGTTTTCTGATTTATATTTTTTTACTGGACAAAAAAATTATTATTTATGTGTGTTTGGTTAAGTTTATCAACATGTAACTTATTATTAAAGAAAAAAATGGATAAAAGAAATGGAATATTAAATAAGAGAGAGGTAGCTTCATAAATACATTAATAACTAATGTTTTTGTTTGTAAAAAAGTTGTCCAACTTGGCAAATTGTGGATCCTCCATGTGCTTATGTGGCAAGAGATTGCTTTTGAATTGTCATAATATATAGTATAGATATAGATATAGATAGATAGATAGATAGATATATATAGATAGATAGATAGAAGATAGATAGATATAGATAGATAGATAGATAGATAGATTCTTAAATTATGGTGAGATTCACGTGCGAAAACTTATTCCATGTTACAAGTATGGACCGAGATATAAAGGGATAACAGATTGGAAAATATCCTAATCCTAATCCTAATCCTATCCTATCCTAACAATACTATATGTAGGTTCTTGGCCGTAACCCCTTTATTCTACCTTTTCCTGCTCTATGCGCAATGCACGGAGGGAGTGATTAGTAAATGTATTTGTGCAATTAGTGATTGGACTGGCCAGACCCATTTTTTTCCTTTTACTTGCAAACTTGGGACACAGGAACAATTGGATTTACTTGGACCTCTTTTCCCCCACAACGCCCAAACTAATTTATACACACTAATATATCCGCAAAGCAAGTATAATGGCAGTGGCAGCCACTAAACTCAAGAGTTATATGCTTAGTTTCATTATTCTTTTCAAGGAAATGATAAAAATATTTATGAGATCATACCACCTTAGATCTAGATGTGATGTATAGTTTTCTTTTACTATAGCAGGAAACCGACAACTGTGTTTGTTTTATTTTTTCATAATTTTGCTTGGTTTTGATAAATTATTAGTGAGATAGTGCGATGATGATTCTTATCCAAATTTGCTTTGATGGTAACATATTGTTTTGTTATGTTATAACTGTTTCAGTATTATTTTCAGTTATTAAGTCAATTCATACTATTATTGAGTACTATTTTTATTGAGTCTACACCTCGAAAATATATTCACCTTGAGGATCATCTTATTAACAAAATAATGGTCAAGTTTGATTTCAAACAGCCAAGTAAAAGGACCTGAAATTTGGTGCATATCCCTTAGTTACAGGCTTTACAGCTGGCACAAACCTCAATAGCTATAGTTAAGGGATTTCAATTTCTCACAAATTTAGCATACTATATCTCATTCGCAGTAAGCCATAAACAACAACATCAAAGACATAGTAGTTAGGTAACAATCTATATCTACTTTTCAATTATTTTTAACTTCAAGTTCATTCTCATTAGAGAGAAAACAACATACCCACTAAAATATAAAGCTTTCAAACAAATAATGTATCTCAATTGTTGTTATTTTATAGATTTAGGTTTAAATGTGAGTTGTAGACAATATTTGTTTAATCTAATTTTATTGTTGATCTGCATCATGAGGAAGGTAGATTTTTTGGAACAATTATTGAGAAACTACTCAAAGATAGTGAAAAAATGAAAAACCTTCACACCCTCATCTCATACAAAATGAGAGCATAAAATTAAACTTCCATGTGAAACTCACCAATTACAACATCGCCAACCCCATAAGTGGGTACACAGTTTTGAAGATAATGGAGAATGAAGAAGAGCAATCTCAAACAAAGTTCATGACATGTATTGGGTAAATTTAAGTTCTTGAAAATGCAGTTTTCACAATTCATAAAATTATGCCATTAAGAGTATACTAATATAAAAGGTAGTGAATTCAGTGATAGAGATAATGCCATTATTGAGATAAAGAAAGAGATTATTGATGGTGGACATAGAAATATTGTGATGGGAGGAAAGAGCGAATGATTGCTAATATTTGTGATTTATATTAGGCAAAATTCTAGCACCGTGAAAAGCTGTTTCACATTTTCAAACATTTTAGCATTAAAATGGTTTTCAATGAGATGCAGGATAAAAATGAAAAGACTATTGATGGTGAATATAAAGTTTCATTAATGAAAGAATAAATATGAAGTTGTGTGGAGGAGATACTTTTGATGGCAGAGCTATCAAAAGGAAATTACAGTAATTTCTAACAGCAATGAGTAAATTGAAGTACGTTTTGAAAATTACGTTTTTTCATGGTCTGAACCCGTACCGGATATTGACTGGAAAAGTCAGCGGTATGATATTTTTATAATAAAATTGTGGTTTAACCATAGTTCAACCGTTAGACCGTTAAATACCGTCTACCGGTTTTGCCTCCAATACTGGTGTTTCGTGGTTGAACTGCCGGTACGGTTTCATGGACCATGTTTTTTTTTTTACGAATCGGTTACCTGCATGAGTTGTGTTGTTTACTTTTCAAAAGGACGTTTGTCCATGAATGATCAAGATTTAGTGTAATTGAATAATTTAGTTTCTTTCATGATAACAAATAAATGATTCCTATAATTACTGTTAGTATTTATACGATTGTTGTAATTTATCCGGCCAACAGGCGGGCCTAACTCTAGTAACTTTATAATTAGTTTCTCAGTTTGTTTTTAATTGGTGAAGCGAGATTTACTCATAAAAGCAAACCATTGAAGTAACAATTCAATTTGACGTGGATATAATCACGTTTAAACCATTGTGGCAAAGATCGGGGAAGCTACTGCGGCTCTGGCGGAGCTATGGGCTTTCTACCATGGGCTTACTCTTGCCTGGAAGTGTGGTTGTGGTAATCTTGTGATTGAGACGGATTCTCAGCTGGCGATTCTTCTCATTAATAATCGTCACGATCCGGTGCACCCGTATGCTGCTCTGTTAGCGTCTATTCGGAGGAAGCTAGTTCAGAACTGGTTGGTTAGTATAGTGCATACATACCGAGAAGGGAATAGAGCTGCGGACCGGCTCTCAAAGCACAGTCTCGACTATCCCTACGGTATGCATGAGCTGACTAACCCGCCTAGTGACTTAGCGCGGATCTTACAGGATGATAGTATGGGGGTGTCTTTTGACCGCCAAATTGTGGCGCCCTCCTCCTCTTAGCCTTTTGTCTCCTCCCTCCTTGTCTTTCTTGTTTCTTGGCTTTGGCCTCCCGTAATGCAAAAAAAAAAAAACATAATAATTGGCTTCTATTAACCCTTACTAGTCATTTCCGATTTTGATCAACCTTACAAGTTACTGCAACATTCGAAGGCTAGGTTTTGGCGGAAAAGCCAATAACTAGGGATGGCAACAAAACTCGAACCCACGGGTACCCACCGACCCAACCCGGTCAACACGGGTAAAATCCGTGTTGACTGGTTTTGGGCCGGGTTCGGGTTTAAACCAGCTACACTATTCACCGGGTCTAGTTGGGTTTGGGTTTAGGTAAACCCGCTCAATGGGTACCCGCCCACACACATATAATTACTTTCCCAGTATATTTAATATTCTAAATAATATATCTTCCTTAAACAACTAATATTCTTTATTTTTGTGGAGACATGTATAATTTGTTCTTTCTAATTGTTTAGAATGAAGTTGATATTATGAAGTGAAGAATGAAGAAACTTAGTTGACGAGGAAGAAGCTTTCAATTAATCTTATTGTTTATAGATGCTTATCTTTAATTTTGAACAATTTGTATTGATCATTTACGGTTTGCTTGTATGCTCTAGATTGGTGTTTTTTGTATGATTAATTTGTATGAGAAAATTGATGTTAAACTTTTATTTTGAAAGAAACTTGTTATTGTAAATTTTTTACTAGAAAAACCCACAGGTACCCATGAACCCGTGGATACCCAGTGGGTTGGGTTTGAAATTTTCAAACCCAACGAGTTTTATCCGGGTTTTTTTGACGGATAAACCCATGAGTTTGAGTTTGGATTTCACAAAACCCGCCCCAACCCGACCCATTGCCATCCCTACCAATGACCCATATATCAGTTAAATTTTAAAGACACATTTAAGACGGGCTTGAAACATATCGTACCACAGGCAGACTCACCCAATTAGCGGCCAGTATTGGAGCCCAGCTTGAGAAACATAGCCCAGGCCCATAACTATCCCGGGCGGGCCTGATAGGTCTAGGGTTTTGCTATATTTAAGCGCCTTTTCTTCCCTTCTCCTCTGCCCTTTTGCACAGCAGAAGCCGTATCTTCACGATGGTAAGCCTAAAACCTAATACCTCCCTCCGGCGGAACCATGGCGGCTCCTCCGTTCTTCTTTGCTTCGCTTTGTGCTTTTTTCATGAACTGCTGATCGTTGACGATACTTGTCTCTGCTGTCCAGGCCTTCGCGAAAGCCCAGAAGACCAGAGCTTATTTCAAGCGTTTCCAGGTCAAGTACAAGAGACGGCGAGGTACGCATCTTTGTCACTGAAATGGACTAGGGTTTTATCATTTTTTTCGTCTTTCTCCTTTCCTGGGACTGTCAATGGAGGTTTTAAGCTAGTTCTCATTTGATTCTTCGTAGATGGCAAAACTGATTACCGCGCCAGGATTCGCCTGATTAATCAGGACAAGAACAAGTACAACACCCCCAAGTACCGCTTCGTCGTCCGATTTGTATCCTGGGATTTACTTTTTGAATCATTTGGCTGAGTATTCTGATTTTGTTGATGGTTCTTTAGATGCAATTGCTTGTTTCTAGGGTTTGGTGTGCTGCCTGGAGGTAGGCTTCTCTGGTTGATTTGAACTTAGAAGGTGGTGTTAGTATCTAAAGTTTGCTCCTTTAGATTTAGATGAAATCGCTGTAGAACTATGATTTGGATTTAGCATGCCTTGTGAATCCTTAACGAATTTGTTAGACCAACAAGGATGTTGTCACCCAGATTATCAGCTCCACCATTGCCGGTGATAATGTAATGGCAGCAGCTTACTCTCATGAGCTTCCCCGATATGGGCTGGAAGTTGGGCTCACCAATTACGCTGCTGGTAGGTTAATTGAGATCCTGTATTTCGCTATGTCTTGCTCCTTTCTATTGAAATGTTTTGATTTTTAATTTTTCAATACCACCTGTATATTTGCAGCGTACTGCACTGGGCTTCTCCTTGCTCGTAGGGTCCTGAAACAGCTTGAGATGGATCAAGAGTACGAGGGAAATGTTGAGGTGTGCACTGATTACGTTGATTTTGTTATTTTTATGTTTGTGTGCGACATGCAGTGCTTATTGTGTTTATCAAATTTTGTGATTGGTCCTGTGAGTAGGCTACTGGAGAGGATTACTCTGTTGAGCCAACCGACAGGAGGCCATTCCGTGCACTTCTTGATGTTGGTCTTGTTAGGACAACCACTGGGAACCGTGTCTTTGGTGCCCTCAAGGTAATGAAATCCGACTTTGTTTATGCATCCCTCCATCCATTGATTTTCCTCTTTATTTGCACTTCTGATTGTTCATTGTCTTCTGCAATGTCAGGGTGCTTTGGATGGTGGACTTGATATCCCTCACAGTGAGAAGAGGTTTGCTGGTTTCAGCAAAGATAGCAAGCAGCTCGATGCTGATGTTCACCGCAAGTACCTCTATGGTGGCCATGTTGCTAACTACATGAGGGTATGATGAGTTTGCAGTTTGGTTGTGTCAAGGTTTGGTGGAAAAGTCAGTGAACTTTCTGGATATGCCAATTGATCTTTTACTCCTCCCCTATTTAATACCAGATCTTGCAAGAGGACGAGCCAGAGAAGTATCAGACTCACTTCAGCGAGTACTCAAAGAGAGGCATTGGACCCGATGAGGTAGAGGAACTGTACAAGAAGGTTCATGCTGCCATTCGTGCTGACCCAACTGCCAAGAAGACCGGCAAGCCAGCTCCCAAAGAACAGAAGAGGTCAGCTTCATCTTCCTATTCCCATGTTCCTTCAATTATCTTCGGCTATGTACGCTACTATAACAATCCTAACCATGTGTGGCTTGATGCACTTGTAGGCACAACCCGAAGAGGCTTACTTACGATGAACGCAGGAACAAGTTGATTGACAGGCTCAAGGCTCTAAACTCTGCTGCAGATGATGATGAGGATGACGAGTAGATGTAGCTGTACTGAAGAAGCTTGGGTTTTTGTCTGGAAGGTTATTTGGTATGGACAGAATTGAAACGTTCAGGGAATCTGATCCTTGGATTTTTGGTTATATGAGTCGCTAGTTTTGGCTTTCTGTATCGTTGAATGGTTTTTACAGTTTTTATTATCGTTTCTCAGTTTGAAGACCATGAAGATGAAACTAGTTATCTTTTATTCTCAGTCTCCATTTATCTTCTATTACTTGCCACTGTCATTTAATTGCTGTGGAATGCTTTGCAATTCGCTTGCTCGCTCACCCCGTTAGTAGCAATGGCAATGGGACGAAATGGCAATGGTATGGGTTGGGTTTTGTCAAATCCAAATCCATGGGTTTATCCGTGAAAAAAACTCGTGGTAAAACTCAAACCCAAATCAACCTGCTGGGTATCCACGGGTCTATGGGTAAAAATCCGTGGTAAAACTCATTGGGTTTGAAAAACACAAAACCAAATCAACATGCTGGGTATCCATAGGTCCATGGGTACCCACGGGTTTTTGTCGTAAAAAATTCACAATAAGAAGTTCCTATCAAAATTAAAGTCAAATATCAATCTCTCAATACAAATTATCTATATATAAAACACCATTATGGAAAATTCAAGCAAATCACAAATTAACTATACAATTGTTCAACACCAATCTAGAAAACTCAAGAAAATTGAAGCAAATCACAGATTATCCATAAATAACATGATTAATTGAAAGATTCTTCCTTTCAATTAAGTTTTTCACTCTCCACTCGATAACATCAACTTCATTCTACACAATTAGAAAGAAAAAAATTAGACATGTCTCTACAAACATAAATAAGATTAGTTGTTTAGACTTTAGAATATTAAATATGCTGAGAAAATTAATTATGTGGGTATGGGCGGGTACCCATGGGTCGGGTTTACCTAAACCCAACCCAACCCGGTGAATAATGAACGGGTTTAAACCCAAACTCGTCAACACGAATTTTACCCGCGTTAACCGGGTTGGGTCGGGTGGGTACTCGTGGGTTCGGGTTTTGTTACCATCCCTATCCGTTAGCATGTTCTCCGTATATAAAATTTGTCAGGAAAATGGATTTATAAGATTTATCCTATCAATTTGTACATTTTTTTACGTTTTTAATACAAAGAAGAAAACATAAATTATTTCGGTTTATTTATTTATTGTTATTCTTAGGAGAAGTAACGTAGTTTATCGAATTTCTATTTGTGAAATGGATCACGCCATCCTTTCTCTGTTTGTCGAACTTCTTCAATAATCCAGTTTGAGTCAGTGTCAAATAATCCAGTTTGAATCAAGTATAACTTGAATTGGCGAAATAGTATAGTGCTTATTGAGATTGTATTCCTTGAGGAAATTTTGGACTTATACTACTCTCCGTCTCGATCCAAACGAAATATGTGAATATAAACTATCCAACAAACAAAACTACACTAGGGAGATCACTAGAGAAAAGTGTTGCTTAGGGTTGAATAATTTTAGTTATAGGTTGATATGGGTTGAATGCAAGTCAATGAAGGCTCTTCTACGAAGAATCACTTAAGCTAGCACTTAAGAGATTTGTCATGTCTTATATGCTTTTTTTTATATCATAGTCAGATGAAATAGTAGACAGATATGATTACAATAGATAAAAGTAACGACAACCGATACTAATCAATCTGTCGATGAAAGAGCCCTTTATGCCACTAAATGGGCAGCTCTATTAGTTCCTAAGAACAAAGTGACAAAAACAATGAAACCTAAAAAAGGATATAAGCTTTCGCCGCTACACCACACCGTCTTAAACTCTCTGTGCCTTCACCTAGGATATGTGATGACAATTCATCATTCTCACCTCTCACCCCACATATCCACAAATAGTCACTTGTGGCACCTTGGTAGATAACAAACCCTTCTTGGCTCTGTAAATAACAAACAAAAAGGAGCAACAGACAAAAACCAACTCACAGCAAAATAGACAATGCTTTACTAGCTCAAAAAATAAAATCACCGCAAACCAGCGCAGACGTGGTAATAAAATAAATGGTGAAGTGGGGGAGTCTTATATACATTTCTAGTTCTAGTAGACTTGGCTGCAACCAATAAATCTCTAGAGCACTAAGGTTATGTTTGCTTGTTGGATTTGGGTCATGGATTTGGTACCCAAATCCCAAGTTTGATGGATTTAACATAAGTGCATTGTTTGTTGAAGGGTGCTAAATCCGTGGGGTCCATGGATTTAGTCTTTATTTTGTAACCAAATCCGTGGACCCCACGGACTTGTAAATCCCACATATTGATTTGGGATTTGCAAATCCTTGATGATTAGTTATTTATTTAACAAATCCATCACAAATCCATCATCAAATCTATCATGCAAACATTAGACTCTTCAAATCCATAATCCAATAAATCCAACATAAATCCCAAGGGTTTTATTGACCAAAACCCTCATTTTTCAAGTCCAACAAGCAAACGAACCCTAAGTCTAGATTCCTCCAATTGAGTTTAATCTATGTAAATGAAATCAAAACCCAATTATAACAACACAATGTGATGTAGATTTCGAATCATCGAATAAGGGAGAATTAGAAATTTAGGGCAATATCCGTTTTGTTAAAACTTAAAAATATATAAAATGTGAACTGATTTGGTAGTCACCAATGGTATAAGGAGTATAAATGCATTTAAACCAATCGTCAAATCATATATTCTCTCTCTCTCCCTTTTTTCCCCCTCTTGTCTTTGTGTCTTCGATCTTTCTTTCTCCGTCTGTCAGTGCACGATTGATTCTGCTTCCTAGTCTGTCACTCCTGCAAATCAGCTCCCTGCCCCTCTTGAATCGTTTTCCACAGAATCGCCCCTCGCTCAAATTCTCTTCCTTACTTCCTGCCTTGTTTCATTGTGACAACTGGTAAGATCTTTGAATACCCTTTCACCTGTTTTCTGTGACCCTCTTTGGGTTTACTGGTTTCTCAAATAGTGAACTGTGATTTAGTTTGAATTGGGTTTTTGAATGGTACCCATTTGTTCCTCTTTTCTGTATGTTCATTTCGATTCCCTGTTGGAAATGGTGGTAGGAACCTCACCGCAACCTTAACTGGAGATCCTTAGTTGCCGGCCATTGTGGCCTTAGGAATAGGGCTTTGGAAAGCTCTTTATTTAAGTTAAGCTGGACTCATTTGGGTAGTAGTCAAGGATTAGGATAACAGAAATAGTTGGTAATGGTATTAGAAGAGCCATGTAACCGAGGAAGAAGACCGCATTCAGAAGCTCGAATCAGGATTGAAGGGTCTGCAGCAAAATCAGTTGCAACTCAGCCTCAAATCATTTTCATTGTTTTTTCTGCAACTGCCATAGTAACTATTGTGTGGAAAACTATAAAAAGTTAGCAGCTTTTAGCCTTGGGATGAAAGAATCTCATTTATATGGGAAACCCTGTTAGCAGTTGCATGAGCTTATTTGTTGATTTTGATGGTCTTCATTGTAATTGCTTTTGCTTTCAGATGACGGAGGAGCTTCCAGTTGAAGTGATTGGGAATATCTTGTCGCGACTAGGAGGTGCTAGGGACGTGGTAATAGCCTCTGCAACATGTCGGAAGTGGCGAGAAGCTTGCCGCAGGCATCTTCATACACTCTCCTTTAACTCCAATGACTGGCCTGTTTACCATGATTTATCAACTAGTGTTCTGGAGATACTGATAACTCAGACTATATTCCAGACTATTGGGTTACAAGGCCTGTCTATTTTGATGGAAGAAGTTGAGGAGTTCTCAGCTTCAGCTGTGATTGCTTGGCTGATGTATACCAGGGAGACCTTGCGGCGATTGCATTATAATGTTCATACTACTCCGGGTGTCAATATTCTCGAGCTTTGTGGTAGGCAGAAGCTGGAGACTTTGTTTTTGTCACATAACTCGATCACTGGTGTTGAGCCGAATTTCCATAGGTTCCCTTGTCTGAAATCCCTTGCTTTGAGCTATGTCAGCATCTCTGCTCTGGACCTTAATCTTTTGCTCACTGCTTGCCCGAAGGTCGAGGCACTTGAACTTGTGAATCCCGAGATTGCAATGTCTGATGCTCAGGTTACTATTGAGTTGTGTAGTCCTACTCTGAAGAGTGTCTATGTTGAAGCAATTAGCTTGGACAAGTTCATATTGGAGGCAGACAGTATCGAGTGTTTGCATTTGAAGGATTGTGCTCTTGAGTTATTTGAGCTGGTAGGAAAGGGGACCTTGAAGCATTTCAAGATCGATGATGTTAGTCTCATACATCTGGATATCGGCGAGACAGTTGATAACCTTGAGATCGTTGATATTAGTAACTTCACGATTTTTTGGCCCAAGTTCTACCACATGATCTCAAAATCCTCAAAATTGAGGACACTTAGGCTTTGGGACGTAGTCTTTGACGAGGAGGAAGACGTGGTGGATTTGGAAACTATCGCCAATTGCTTCCCACAGCTTAGCCATCTATCACTGAGCTATGACTTGAAAGATGTGCTACTTCATTATGGCTTGCAAGGGAATTCAAATCTGCAGAATGTGGTCGTGTTAGAGCTTGGTTGGACTGTGATCAACGATCTCTTTTCACATTGGGTCGAAGGGTTACTAAAACGGTGCCCCAATCTGAAGAAGTTGATTCTCCATGGAATCATTTCAGAGGCCAAAAGCCACGAGGAGTGTCAGATATTGTCTGATTTCTTCTCATGCCTCTTCCAACTCATGAGGAAGTATACTGCTGTGGATGTGCAGTGTAAGTTTGATTAGTCGGGGATGTTGTTTATGATTGATTTCGATGAGATATCTAAGTTTTTGCATCAAAACGAGTCCCATAAGGATTGTGTACAGGTAAAAGTTTACATCTTTAGATCCCCAGGAACCCACTGATAACATCCGCTGTAATTTCTTCTGCTATAGCAGGCAGACTATGTTTTGCTGTGAGCTACAACACAGGCTGAATGTAGATTAATATTCTTGATTGGTTTCTGAACTATCTAGTGAATGCTCAAAATGATCGATTCATTGATAATGCTTCTCCCTTTCCACAACATGGAGAGATCAGAGATAGGCCAAAAGCCTTGATCCTTCAATTTGTTTTTGGGGCCAACTTACATTAATTGCTTTAAAGAGCCACCTTATCATCTTTATTCATCCTTTTCTCAACTTAGCCAACTTGTGTTGTGTATTACAGGTGTTCCTTCTCTTCAAATATAGCATTTTGTCATCCCCAATGTAGAAGGAAATCTATTATATTTCCATTATTATACATTGAAGGAGATAATAAATGTCTCTCTTAGAAACAACTTGTTGCCTTTGTTTGCTGTTTTGTCATCTTGTCAGCAAATGTGACCAATGTTGGAAATGTTTTCCAGAAGGGCGGCTCCATTTAAGACTCAAGAGTCCAACTTTAGTTTAAATATAGCCATTCTAGAGAACCAGCTGCAATTTTTTCCAGCTGCAATGAGATGAAACAAAGAGACCTTCAAGTCTGCAACCCACCAGATTGCTCTGATATTGCAATGTTCAAGAGGGATGACATATGCCATGTTTAACAATTGACTCTATACTATACTACAAATCTGAACTAGTCCATGTACAATGTGGTTTGTCCATAGAATTTTTCGTCTGGATTCGGTACTAGCTAGTGATGTTGGTTCATGACTCAGATGTATCACATACGAGATCTGTTAGAAAGTTATGATTCGTCTGTTAATTCAACTCTCGAATCCTTCTTCTCATCACAGTTCTCCGTGAACCCATACATTATATGCGGTCTTAACTCGGTCTAAAATAAGTAACAAGAGATGTATTCGCAACAGACATGGCATGGGATGTGAGACATTAAAATTGTGATTATCGAGTATGCGCATAGGACCAAGATTTCCATGTAGATAAATATAGCCATTCTAGCATTACTGTGGACCAGAAATTTCTTTTGAACAGATGTACTACTCTGATTGATAGAAGGCTGCTTCTGCAGAATTTCTACTCTATGAAATATGCGTATCTTCAAGGCTTTGATAGCATTTCTTACCCTGGTAATTGTCTTTCACCATTGTAAAAAGAAAAGTTGACTGATGAATTTTCCAAAGAGTAGAACTCACGAAAAATATTTATAATTAAATCCAAGGTAAAAATGAATAAAGAAAAGAGGTACAGAGTCAGGATCTCCACAGATACACAGGACAGGAGTCAGTATTTCTGCATAGGCCTGAAATTTTTGCTTTTGACCTCAAAATGCAATCACAAAGAAGGGAGTAAAGTCAACTTTTCTATTACCTGAAAATCCCCAACTCCCTCTGTGCTTGAACCATTCTTGTGTACAAACCCTAAATTAAAAAAATTGCCCTCTCTCAAGTACCAACTGTCCTTCTGGGGCTGCCTGCCCTCTCCACAAATAGTTTATACATTCCACCAACAAATGTTTAGAAGTTAGAACAACATACACATTTTGAACAGGCGTCTCTAGGCAGTCAGGTTATTAAGCATGTTTAGCACGTGTTGACATTGTTGAAACCCGCTCTTGTATGTTCTTAGCTGTTGGACGGTCAAAGTAACATTGATGATAAATATGTGAAAGGCAATTTAACAACATCAGCATAACAACCAAACCGTTTCAATAATGCGGCCTAAAGGGAGGTTCGGGATTTGAATTGAAGGCAAAGGGAATTGGGGAATGTCTATTATTCTCTAAGACTATTGCCCTAAATAGTGACCTAAAGTTGCTTTAGATGATACATTGGTTGGTTAATGATGCCCAATTTTATGCAACTCCAAGGGACCATCATCCATATAATCCAGTCATCCAGAGGAAGAGGGGAGAGGCCAAATACATTCTTGTTTGCTTTGATGGGTTTTGTTGCCTTACAAGCACAAGTGTCCTACAAAATATGGACCACCACTTCACCACCCAGAAAGAAACAGAACCCACCACAACAAGTACTTTCTTCTGGCTGCTGGGTCAAAAGTCAAAACATAAACAAAAGGGCTACAACTGGAGAAGACTTTGACCTTCCCTCTCAGGTTACTTGTGTCCTACAAACATGCCAAAGATAAAGAATTCTAGAATAAGCTGGAACCTGGGTTTGTTTTAAACTTAATTTATACCAACTGGGTTAAAGTAAGTTCACCAAATTAAGGTCTGGTAGCCATTGATACAATGGATTTGGTTCAGAAACAGGTCACCTTCCAAAACATAGGAAGTCTATAAGAGAAGTATGAAAGAAAACTTATAAAAGAAATAGGAAGTCTGCAATGAGAAGAAAGATCTTATGGAATCTATCCATTCTTTCTCTCTCTCTCTCTCTCTCTCTCTCTCCCTCTGAGAAATTAGCATATGAAGAACATGTTTGGCTTTATTTTTGGGTTGTGGTTTAGGCCAATCATTGGGATCATGTAAGGGAATAAATTGGTAGAGGGGAAGGGCATATGACCTACAAAAAGGAAGTAGATGAGCACCCAACATAAAATATTTGAGTTTCCTTTCTTCCTTCCAACCCTTTCATATTTCTATGAAACAGATCATGGTCCATTACACTTGGCCTTCTTCTTGAATTTATGGCTATTTTATTATTAGAATAAGGTCATAACCAATGTTTAATTCTCATAGAGAAAGGGTTATGAGTGTATCAATCATACAAGGCATGGCTATCTAATTATGAACCTTTCCAATGTTTTGTGGTTCAGGCTGCTAGATCCCTATTGACTATCTGATTTTTTTTAAATGCTTTGTTGGGTTTTAAAAAAAAAGGTTAGACCTTTGCAACCAAAGTGGTAGTTTTGATTGTTGGATTGGTTGATTTCATTATTATCCATTTGAAAGAATAATAGGGATTTAAGCAATATATTAAAGGGGAAACCTTTCACCTAATGCAAGGGATTAGGAGTAGGACCCTACTTAGTTTGTATCAGAAATTGGGAGAAAGGGAAACTAAACCTAAACAAATGAATAAATATATGGGGATGGATATGAGGAAGAGGGCAAGAGCCAAGAGGCATGGAAGGAGAAAAATAATAAAATGGAAAATAATTCTATTAATGGAAAAAAAGAATCTTTAATGTGGCATGGTTTTAGGTGATGAGAGGGAATGGATGTTGACCTATCAACAAAATGGAGGGATAATACCAAACAAATCCATGTCTCATCCCCTCCCTAATATCTACTAACAAGAAGAGTGCCTTTAACTTGAGATTTAATAATGGTGGTGACATTCATCAACAAAATAGCAGGTGGGGGTTTCTGGATTTTCTTATGGAGTGTTTGTGTTTGTTCTAGATAATGCAAAATTGACGAAACCAATCGACACCATCCTCATGTTGTGCCAGTTACATCAATTTCTTCAATGGTAAGATGAAGTTCACTTTTAGTATGTTTATAGAGAGGTTAGTGTATAATGAGGGTTAGTTTACTTACCTTGAGTTTCACGTTATTGCATTTACGACGCATCTTCCGCTAATTATATTTGTATGATCCATTAGTTATTGATGTATGTTAGTATATCGGGGTCAGTCTAAATACCATGATTTTCAATTTTCATGTCATTGATGTTTACGATGCATTTTTTGCTCGTTAGATATTTATTTCTATACACTAGGATGTTGTTTTGCAATCATTTAGAAAAGAAAAAAAAAAGAATAAATAGAATTGGGTTTCTATGGTGTACACTTGATTACTTCCTTGCTTGCCGGTTGCCATAGATGGTTCTATGGTTAATGGCACCATGTGCCACCTAAGTTTACAATTTGTTGCACATTAACCACTTAAGTATTTTTTGTTGCTACTAAACCATTTATATTAACTTCTTGTTACACCGTTATCATTTTCGTCCACCGAATTAACGGTAGGTGTCCAGCCGTAATTTTCCATGCCACGTGGGCTGCCACATCAGCTGCTGTAGGGTGAGCCACATCATCAAAACGAACTAACCCTGACCCAACCCTTCCCAACCCATAATCTGACCCTATACTCTGTCCCACCACCCACTCATCTTTCTTCTCCACCTCTTGGTGTCGCTGAACAAAAGGCTGGCTACAACATGGGAATAGAGAACTGATCAACGGATAGAGCTATAACCCACGAAGGTAGCTGGGGTCTGGGGATGGCGGAGCGAGAGTTGCGCTTGTTGTTTCCTCTACCCCCATTGGTGACTTGGTGGTTGGATTTTGTGCGAGGAGGAAAGGAATGGAGGGTCTGCGGGTTCTGTTCTAGGGTTTATAGTTCTTATGTTTAGTTTAAAGGGGGGAAATGGATGTGGTTTCTGATAATTACCCATCATACTTACAAGAAGTGGAAAAGAAAATCGGCTCCGCATGCGGGAAACTAAGGTAACATTTTCGGGCAAAGATCAATAATCACAGACTAAAAATGCGCGTCGGCAGATTGTCTCCCGCTAGTGATGACAATCAAACCCATGGCTGCGTGTATCCAAACGCCCCCGACCCAATTAATGTGGGAATCCCCTCTTTGACTGGGTATGGGCGGGTATGGGTAAAACTCGCAAAAAGTTTGATGGGTATGGGGCGGGTAAAACCCCATTGCCATCCCCATCTCCCGCCGCAGTCCTCCGCACTTTCCTTCACTCCTTTCGCAGGCGATAGGTTTCATCATCGGTGGTTATTTCTCAGATTGCATCAGAATGCGCGGAATCGCTGAGATCGTGCACGAGAGGGGAAGGCGAATGCAGGTAGATCGGATGAGAGGTTCTCTCTTTTCCCGTCGGCTTTGAGGGAGATGCAATTGAAGACGGCGTCGAAGCATCCCTGGTCGATCTATCTGGTTTTAAGTTGGGTCAAAGGTGGGGTGGGTCCAATGACTAAAATGACCCACATGTGACTCGCCCTACAACAGTTAATGTGGCAGCCGTGTGTCATGGAAAATTGCGTCTGGACACTTACCATTAGTTTGGTGGACGGAAATGATAACGGTGCAACAAGAAGTTAAAGTAAATGGTTTAGTAGCAACAAAAAATATTTAAGTGGTTAACGTGCAACAAATTATAAACTTAAGTGGTATTAGGTGCAATTAACCCGATGGTCCTATCTCCAAGCCAAGACTTTAGGGTTGCATGAAAAAAAAACAGAAAGGTGCTATTGAAGGCCTCAAGATTGTGTGGGAAGAGGGCTACAGAAAGATTGAGCTCAATCTTGACTCAGAGACAACAATCTCCATCATCAGGAACAACGCGGATGATGACCATAGACATGGCCAGGTTGCTGCTTTGTTCTGCACCCTTTTGAACCGGGATTGGGAGATTAGAATCTGACATGTGTATAGAGAGTCGAATCATGAAGCTGATTACCTTGCTAATTTAGGTCATGACTCCCCTTTTGGCACACATTTCTTCGATGTGTGCAACCCGAGACTTAGAAATTGGTTGTACTATGATATCATGGGCATTGTCCAAGAACGTTCTATTAATTTCATGCACTAGATGCAATGCGTCAACTCTTCTAAAAAAAATATCCAAGGAAATGGAGGCGGGAAAAAGAAAATTAACAAAAAATACATCTTCATTTCCTTTTCAAGAAAAAAGGGAGAGATGTTGACACCTTGGGGAAACCTTTTCCAATTTATTGAGTGAAAAAAATGTGAACTATGAGGTATTTGAATATGATTAATGAATTCAATGAATTTTGATTGGTAATACCAATTTAATCTTATAATAAATACGTATATAATCCTCTTTAGGGTTTGACAATTGAATCACTAGATACTAGACATAGATTTGATCCTAATGTTTTGTGTTCTTTTAATGATATTCTAAATATAATGAATGATCATTTGAGGAGGGTTTGATTCAATCACAATTCACAAGTCATTATTCCATCTTGAATCACCATCCAAGAGGAAAGAATAAGAGGGGCTATGGTGCTTAGGGCAAAGAAGCTAAATTACTTCACCTTAGGATCAGGGCTACGAATCGAACAAATACGACTAGCTGAGAAAGAGTGAATTAAATTTCTATCTCAATATACTTGTGAAGTATGATCACCAAATTTTAAGAAGCATTTCAAATGTTTGACTTAGATACCACTCTTGGAAATTTGTCACTCTTGTTTCATATAAAATGCAACTGTCTTAATATTCTTAAATTTAAAGCTATGATTCTGTAAAAATATACGAATCAATGTATAATTTTATTCGAATTGCGTAGTAATCAAAACTTAGTTGTATATGGTTTAATGTACTTCCCTTTGTACAGAATAACCTATCGTGATCATATAATAATGGTGTATATGTATCAACTATCAATAACTCATATTTACATCAAACTAGT